AGACTTCTTTCAGGTTCGTCAATTTGAATGAGCATATTTGACTGGAGAGGAGTTCAGTTCATTTGCCCTCTTGTTTAATTCTTAGTCCTGAATATGAAATTCAATGCTGTATTTTAGGGTAACTCTTCTTGACCTTGAGTATCATAACTTTGTCATGAAATGCAAATACCTTTTAAACCAGTCATCTTCAAGTGGAGTAGTCCTAAAGGAATTTCCACTGTTATCACCACTTCTAGTCATAACCCATCGGTGCAGATGAACAAACATTAATCCTGTAGACTAAGAGGAGTATCGCCACAAATTAAATCACCTACAAGATACTATAATTGGGTACATATACTCACTTTAATACTCACTTTGTATATATTGAAGGGGGTTTTAAAATATCATAGGAGCACTCCTCAGCTAGCTATTGACACTCATGACTGATGTCAAAACAACTCTTACAGGTATTAGAAAATCAATGTATAGCTCTCAGAAATCATCATGTATACCCTCCCACCTAGGTTATTTAAAACTGACTTGAGCAAGGAAGCTGACAACCACTTGGTAAAGCAATCTTAGCACATGTAGCATTATTGTATAAACAGAACTCTTTCAGGAGGGGGTATATTCAATACTCTACATAGTTTTATATTGAAGGTATATTAATTTAGGTGTCAAAAGTACTCTACGATTGCTTTGGTTTCAAGTTGCTTTACTTTGCTGCATGATTGATCCAGAACACTTGGTCCACTTCAATAACTAATCACACTCTAAACTGAAAACAATGGTAGCTTGCTTCTTGCTTTACTTGTTTTTACTTTGAGAATTCCTTTGCTCTGTGTAATATTTTCCTTTGTTCTAAGTGGCCCTTTAAATAAATTCCATTGGTTTTAGTTTTACAACACTCAGTTGAAAATCACTCAAATATTGGCTTTCATAGAATGCTTCAGCCATATCACTGTAAGGTAATGAAAAAGAAACATCACTTAGCCTTACCATTATAAGTTTAACCTGCTGCACCACAGGGTTTGGCTCAAGTTCCTCTTCTGAGGTATCCAAAGATTCCAACTGCCATCTTGGTTTGCTATTTCCTCTTCCTGTGCATAACTGAAAAATACATACAACAGGTTTTCAGGCTTAACATTAAACAGGCTTAATACCTTCTTGTCTTTTCCTAAGGAGGGAAAATTAGTGGTTCATTTTGATGTTATTATAAAAACAATTCAGGGAACTACTTGAAAAAAAATTGATGAAGATTAACTGTTTTTGCTAGAAAAGGTTCATATTGTCAATTTTATGGAAAATTATTGCTGTGTGTCTGTTTTTGTTGAGACAATAAAAAGTTTGACATTTCACTTTAGTTTCAAGCAAATCCAAACAAAATTAATCTCTCTGGAACTTGAAATTGCAGACAGCTTAACATACAAAAAGCTTCCTGTATTCATACCTCAAGAAACAATGACAGACAGGCAGGAAAAAAGGTCATAAATAACATGTAATGAGTGATCAGTGATAAACATCCAAATTGACAAATGGTCTCCAGCTCAGTGACCCCTGCCAAAAAAAAAAGAAAAAAATGTAACAAATTTATTACTTAGAAAATTATGCAAAACAGAATTTTTTTTCCATAAGTGTTGCCAAAATAAAAGCATAAATTAATACACATCAATATAAATAAAGAAAAGTGAGAAGTGGTTTTGCCTTGTGGCTAATAAGATAAACTCTTCCATGAGAAGTCTTGGTTTGAATCCTAGCTAAACTACAGATATTGTTTTGCATTCTTGGGGAATACACTTTTCTCTCAGAGTGCATCTCCCATCCAGGGGTACATATGGGTAGCAAGGAGCTATCAAGAAAACTTGTTTTTGTTTTTCTGTTTTAAAAAGGAGAAGGACTATTTAACTAAAGACTGTACACTGCACAAACCTGAAAGGGTTCCTATACCAATCACCAAAGTACCAACAAGCGTATTGAGGGTTACAGTTGGACCCAGGTAGCAAATACTTTCTGCAATCCTGCCAGGAACAGCATCCTAAAAAGTTACAAGGAATTTAAGTTAATATTAAATAGAGGTTAACAAATCAACTTAAACAACCTAAACATAGATCTGAAAATTTAATGCTCCATTGCAAATACCCCCTTTCTTACAGCCATTGTAACTTCAAAAACGTTAAAAATTTCTTGTTTACTCCACAATATATCCTCCGCTCCTGTTGTCATGGTGTCAGTCCCTGCTACTTACTAAAGTACTGTCACAACTTCAGCTTTACCCTTATTTGGATTAAAACAATATAACATACAACAATATAACTATATTTGCTCTGATGGGCTATTATGTTCAAAACATCAGCTTCAGAAAACTTTAAATGGTAGCCAAGTTACATTATTAATTCAGTCCATTACACTAAATTATCAATTTGTAATATACACCAAACTCTTCCCATACTTTTCATGTTGTCAGTTCAAATAAAATGCAAAATATTGCGACTTCTTCAACACACCTACACTACCCTTTTCTCACTCTACATCTTGCACACCAACTGAAAGCCAGCCATATACTCACATAAGTTGAAGATTGAAGAGTGTGCTTCACTAAGGAACTGGCTGTATTGAAGTCACTTAGAAGAAAGAAATATGGTAGAGCCTCCCTGCAAAAGTAAACAGTCTGAATATAACTAGAAGCTGTTGACTGTTGAACAAATTATCCTTGTAGTACCTTAGGAAATGTATAGAACACTACTGAGAATATGCAAACTGATGTCAAGGTGTGAAGGGTAGATAATATCTCACTGACTCCTTAAGTGAAAGTGAAAGTCAAAAATCAGAATCACAGAAAAAAAGATCATGTGATCTATGCTTAACCCACTGGAAGGAAACAAATAGTTATCATTGCCAGACATTTGGCAAAACACACCCTTACATTTCTGGAATCATCACATCTTTGATAACCCATTACAACATAGAGTTTGCAACTTTGACAGGAAAATATTAAATAAAAGATTAGGTCTAAATAAACATTTGTTAGAGAGTTCATGAATCATCTCCAGAGCCTCACCTTACAACCCAAAAATCTCTACCATATAAATTAGCCACTATAGAACCAAACACTAGACAGGAAAAGACTGCAAACACAGATACAAATCCTAAAAATAAAAAAGAAAAAATGGCTCAAGACGTTTTATTTGGGATAAATGAGTTTAATCAATGAAACACTTCTAGAAATAAAAAAAAAATGTATTGAAAACAGCTGTAGCTAATTCCAACAAAGCTGCAAAACAGAACAAAGAATTTTAAAAAGACTGACATCAATGTGAATATCAGCCTGCTTCAAGATGGCTTTTTTTTTTGTATCACTTTGACTGTTAGACTCAGGATAAAGAATTAAAATCAAAATTGTATCTACTTGTAGAGATGACTATCTTACCTAAAATATATGAAGACCCTTGATGAATAAGCTTTTTACATTGAAGATAAATGCACACAAGAGCAAAGAAATAACTCGTCGGGCCAACATGTAAGCCAGCTGGTAAAGATATCTAAAATTAAACAAAATGGCAAATATCACCAAATCATACCTAAAATACCTGCTAAATTCTTCACATTAACCTATATGTTTACTCAAATATTCAAATTGTCTGGATTTATATGAAGATTACACAAGCAAATAAGCAATAGTGTTGTATCGGATTTGCCATCTGATCGTGTGAAAATGAAATTTGCCCTGGAGGTCCACACTCCTCTCTTAGTTGAGACAAACGAACCAAATTAGGACAGTAAAATTCTTAGATCAGATTTGCTCCAACCTGTTCATAACATTTTTGTGAAAATGATTAGGGCGGAAATTTCAAATAATACGTTCACACCTACAGTAATTCCAATGGCTATCAATTTACCAAACTGTAAATAACATCAGGATGTAGCCACTGACAGTATATTGAACAAATGTAATTTCTTTTGTGTTACTCCACAAACTCCCTTCTTTGGTAAATTACACACTTGGTGAAATGTTTATTAAAAGCAATTACCTAAAATAATTGCTTTCCCAAGTCCTTGACAACCAAATAAAGCTTTGAGGGGGTTTCTTACACTGCTTCCTAATCAAGATGACGATTTCCGCTACATTAAAATCTGCACACCGCAAATGAGATTAGCTTATGGCTATAAATTCACACTATTCAAACCATTTCCTTAAATGTTTTTCAAGTGATTTCCTTGTTCGTTCAGCAGCACGAAATTAAACTGGTTACCTGGAAAATTTTTCATGAAGTGAAAGGGCATAAACCATATCCTGACATTCGATGTAAACACTTGTGGATATCTTTACTGTAAGCTTGTCATTTAGTCACGACATGACCAGTAACAAAAGAAAGCCCTCCTAATAGGACGTTATTTTGGATTCTATCAGACCTACTTGCCACACAAAATATAAATTTTGGTCTAAAATTGAATTCAGTCATTCATATTTCGATAATTCTGAAATAATCTACTAACCTTCTCGCCGGAACTTTCGACTAGGTCTTCCGAAGAATGTGTTGCATCGTATATATTCAAACTTAACAAACAAACAGTTCCAGTGATGCAGACCAACAAAACTTCAACAGGATGATGAGAGCACTGCTTACCATGATAGTAAAACAGGCTTGAAATTCCACTTTGCGGCATGAAATTTTTTTTTTAACCAAAAAACGCGTAACACTTGAAGTTTACTCCCTGCCTTCCAGCATGTTATGTCAGGCAACGTGGCTGGTTACTAAGCCAATATGACGCAACTCAGGGGGTAAATCCCCTTGTTATTTTTAGCATCAAGACACTTCAAAGGCAAAAAATTTGCCTGGAATCGGATTATTTTTGCCATATACGTTAAAATTTCTGATATTCGTATTATTCCCTTGAAAAAGAAACCAAAAGTAAACAGTTGATTGACATGAAAATGAAACAACCGCAAAGCTAGAAGAGTCATGTGACACAAATCTTTAGCTCGTTCGAAAAGCATTATGGATTTATACCCACAGTGCTTAGCAAAATTGTAAACGCGTGCACCAGGTGTTTTGGAAAAAAGAGGTGAAAGGAGAAATTTGGTAAGTAAAAATTTGCTTTTTCTCTTTGTAAAGAACCTTTTCGCACAAGAGTAGCTCAGGAATGTGAAAAAGATACATTTTCTATCTCAACTGTCCTTAATATTTTATGTACCTGGTTTAAAGCTGCGAAAAATCGCCCCAATTATCTGCACGCCTGCCTGCACCAAAGTCTTAGAGCTATTTTAACGCTACCAAAATCATTCGGCAAATTGGTCTTTATTCTTCCTTCAAACCTATCGTGTACCATCCCTTAAGGCGGATAGATAAAGAGTTAATGTTTTGTAAATGGCACTAGCTTTTCTTGTCAAATGCACTCGTAGTTCGCCGTTTTGTGTGATTGGCCACTTGGGTAAATTTTTCTTTTCTAGGCCAGGCAGTGCTTGCATCATGTTGCTTACGGATAAGCCTGATGAGCTCTGGTTGCTCCCATAAATTTCAAATATCACTAAAATGGAAGAATAATAATTTTATTGTTTTTGATATAAGGCTGATTGACGCTTGAAGTATATATGATGTACCCAAGGATTAGTTATTGTTAATTAGAGTTCAACAAGCCAAGGATCACCATGAAGCCATCCGAAATGCATTTTTTTCTGAAATATATAGTCTACAGTAGCCTCAATTTTCAAAATTTTTAATACTAGTTAAATGGAACGACAGAATAAATTTCTGCTGGCATGACAACCATGCAAACAAAGGCTTCATTTTAGAATAATCCTGAGAAAAATCAACAAAGATGTCATCATGACATGTGAACTAAAAAAACAAATAATTATCGCAGTCACATGGGAATGAAATATTATAATGTTTCTCTCTGTGAAAGAGCAGATTTTTCTGTCACATGGCTGAAATATGTACTTTAGTGATATGTCTGTTCAGTGTTAGTCCACCATGAGCTAGGTCTTCTTTCAACCATCCAGACTTTAAAAATGAGCCTATATCAACACTTATTCCTTAAAAAATATCCTTTCTCTCAAAAGGTTTTTAATGTTAGGGCATTTACACTGTATAATTCATATAACACATCCCAGTAGTCGGCTCTTTATACACAAGAGAACCTACAGTGAAGCCAGCATTCCTCATTAGTTATTTAGCAGGGTTTTGTCAGCTGCCCAGGGGTTAAATTTCTTTTACTGCAAATCTTGAAACTGGGGACTATCTGTTTTGACATTCAGCAACATCCACCTTCTTCAAAATGTAACCTTACCACTTCCAAGATCTCACATGGTTTCTCCCCACTATCTGCCAGTGTTCTGCTTCAAATTTTGTTTAAATTTTTTAATTTGTTTTTTTGGTCATTACCTTTTTTTTTTGACAACACTTTGATATTGTGAGGAGAAATTGCTGACTGACCATTCATTTAGAATGGAAGGGTTTAGTGAAACTTTGCCTGTGCAGTTGTTAGGTGAAATAACATTCTGTCATTCTGTTACAACAGGTCAGAGTGTTATTTAGAAGAAACATCTTGTTATTTATCATGGACCAACCTGCAGTTGATCAAGGTGATTATATATACTTTTTCCAAGTTTTAGATAAGGTTCTTAATAGCATTTTGGCCTAAATGCATGAGGTTGAACATTTGAGGATTCAAGTTCCAGTCACATTTAGTTGTATTACAAAAACAATTTTAAGAACATCTTTTTCAAACTGTGGCTTCCTAATAAAACTTTTTTGGAGTTAGCTTCTTATTCTTTTAAAAGAAACTTAATTTTTATCTCAAAATGATAAAGGAATGGGAATGAAGAGACCAGCTGAAGAGGATTACAATAGTAATGTTCATGCAAAGAGGGTGAAAGATGAAGAGGGTGGAGTCAGTGGAGAACAGACAACTCTACGCTTTCTACTTGAGAGCAGGGTAAGACTTCGAAAAGGATTATAGTTTGATAAAGTGGTCAGTGTGGTTCTGTTTGGCAGCCATTAGTTTCATTGTAATCTTCACTTGTTTTCAGTTATGATAATAAATACAAGGCAAAGAAAAAAAGTTAAAATAGTTGAACCATAGTTTACTGTTAACTAGACTTTCCTATGCCATATGTAGGTTTAGTGTAATTTTTTTTCCAAAAATGTTAAAAGTAAAAGAAATAATGATAGAAAAGCCAGCAACTTTGTGACATTAAATTGAAAAGGTTGCTTTAAAAAATCTTTGCACAAATTGCAAAAGATTGTTGTGGCCTCAAATTAAAATTTTGAGCTGAATTAACCAGCCTCATTTGTAAAGAGATTTTGATTAAAGAAAGAGATACATTATTTCTAAATTTAGATACTTTTTTTTTCTTTCCTTAAATGTTTTAGGATGCTGGTGGTATCATTGGCAAGGTAATACCTATGTGATGGTAGAAAGTCCTGTTAATTTTATTTACTCCGATGAAAGCTCTGCTATTGTATCTCATGGTTGGTAACATTGTTTTTACACATGCTGACAATGGCTTTGTGAAGCATTTAATAAAGTTGATGGGATATGAAATGAAAGGTAGTTTTAAAGTTTAGAAACAAGCAGAAGACAGATAATTTTCACTGTGTTTGTAGTAGTATTGTAAAGCTTAAGATTAATAAATTTTATGTAACTGTTGATGAGTATTGCACCTTTTGATAAAAATTTTTTTTATTTTTCAGGGGGGACAGAATGTGAAAAGATTACGTAGTGAGGTATGGAGCAATGTTATTTTATCTTTATTCTACACCTTAAACAGTTTTGTGTCAAGTCAAATTGTAAAGTGATCAATGTTTGATTACTGGTCCAATTTGTGTCAGTAAACAGTAATTATGTATGAATGGTTTCCAAATGATTCCTTTTTCTGCTTCGTCAGGTTCATTATTACTGGTGTGATGTTGCTATTGAAAATTTTTCTAATCTCATTATGACAGATTCTGGTTTTTCTGGTGTATAACTAAGAAACATATCAAGTTTATACATGCATGCATGTTTAGCAAATACTATGGTGACTTCCACATGAAGTATTTCATCCACATTAAATTGTACATTTTGTTAAAGGGATGTTACCTCACAAGATAGCCTCTGTTCCACTTTAGAATGTTTAATGACTTGTGATTTTCCCAGGCTTAGGCTTTGAACTGCATTCTGTTTAACTCCTTCCTTTCCCTTGTAGTTTATCCAGCTAACCAAGTACCTTCATATTTGTCAGATGCTCTGTTCTGCCTCTGGAATAGTAGTTTATCCCTGCTAAGTTGTTGTTGTTTTTCTCTCCTATTATTCCCTCCGTGTTCCCATCCCGGCCCTATCCACCCGTTCCCATCCATCTACCTGCCTGACACCCGCCCGTGTTGGTCCCTGTTGTGATCTCACCCAAGTTCAAAGCAGTGGTCAATGTCCCGGATACCAATACCCCCGAGCGGTATGTCCCATGCGTCACGTTAATGTGTGTCCTGCCTTCCTGTACATTACACTGCATGTCATAACAGTGTAATGCTGTCATATCTAGAGGGATTGATTCTAACTATAGATAGAAGTTATGCCTCAAACTTTTACTTTAACTGAACTGCCAGACTTTTTGGCAACCAGTGGCCAGTATTGAATTTGTTGAATGTTATACAGTAGGTGTAAACTCATGCTGTATGATACCCTATGTTGTCTTGAAACTTAATGTTTTCTGTGGTGCTTGTTGCTATATTTCTAATGTTCTGGAATGTTAGGAAGCCTTTACTACCATAGACACGTTTTTATCAGAAATAAGGAGAACCATCATAAAAAAGTGTTAACAATCACTTTATGGTAACTTTGAAGTGAGAAAAATTCTTAAAACAAATATTTGCTTATGTTTATATGATCTCTACCCAACCTGCTTTCTCTAAATTATTAAGGCATGTAGGGCTGTGTTCGTTCTCATTTCCCAACTATTTTTACTCATAGTGTGTTAACCATTACTGCTGCTTATGATGATGCAATGGCCATATTTTCAGAATGCTTACCAAAGATCGGTGGGGTGAGTTTTTAATCAATTTGATATGTTCTGGTCAAAAGAGATCACATCTTGTTGGCAACAAAGTTTGGTTCTGTTGCTATATATGTTCCTGAAATCATTTGCATTTGCTTTGACTGACATGTGTCATTTTTAAACCATGAATGATGTACTTTTGTGGTTTATGAAGGGTTTTAACCGAAGGCTGGAATTGATAAAAAATAGTCATTTATGAAGTTTCAAAGACTGGCTGGGATACTCCTCTGGTTATCTGTTTCTACCTTTTGCTTGATTCTCTTTGATAGTGGCTGGTCAGATAAACTGATGACAGGATTAAATTGTTTTGTGTGATCTTGTTATAGCGCCAATCCAGTTCTAATGGGAAAGAAATCCAGATGCTAGTACAACGAAGTCAGGTTGGGAGTGTGATTGGGCAAAAAGGACAGAAAATAAAGGAAACTCGGGAGGTAAATTTGCTGGTGATGTTTTCTGGCCAATTTTAGTTTTACCAAAAAACTATACTTTAAGAGAAGTTCTTTGCTAATAATTATTTTTATTTTGTGGCAGAAAACTGGAGCACAAATCAAGGTGAGTGGTTTTGACATGAAGCACTTTATATGGGAACTTAATTATATTAGTCTGTCAACTGGTGACAGGGCAGGAAATTGTTTGGTGTCTTGAATTAATTTTTATGATTTTGTGACCATCCTTTCAAAGAATACCTCTCTATTACTTTCAGGTTCATTCTGATTGTTTACCAGGATCAACAGAAAGAATTGTGTCCATTCGTGGTGAGTTTTTTTTTAATCATTTATGTGTTTCTTCAACCTCAGTTGTAACTCTTTCACCTCTGTACTTGACATAGCATCCTAAATGTGAGATTTGTCCCACAGGTTCTGATGAGGTTATTGTGAACTGTGTTAAAGAAGTTATTGATCAATTAAACGAAGTAAGTGAAGGAGGAAGTTTTATCAATATTTAATCCTCAATGAGGCAATAAACAAGCTTTTCTGGCTAACCCTTGTAGGGTTTTTTTTTTTAGTTATTGATAAAGTATACTTTGTATTTCTTTAGTCTCCCTTGAAGGGGTCAGTGTCCTTGTACGACCCAGCTGGCATGAATGACTGGGATTATGGTGGTGGTTATGGACCTGGTGGAGGTGGCCGAGGACGTGGAGGAGGAAGAGGACGGGGTGGTCGAGATGGAGGAAGGGGAGGATCTCGTGGAGGCCGTGGGGGAAGAGGTGGTTTTGGTGGTGGTGATAATATGGGATATGGAGGAAACTACTCACAAGATTTTGTAAGTTTCAGATGTAATTGATTTGTCTGCAGTTTCGTCCAGCAATTTAAAAGTATTTGCTGGAGATTTAACCTTTTCTTCTTGAGAGCAGCTGTAAAGGCAGATTGATCTAACATTTGTAATTTGTCACTTTTTCTTTTAACATATTAGGGTGGTGGAAACATGGGAGGTGATATGGGAGGTAAAAATCATGTCTTCTTCATAGTACCTTAATCATCCATACTAAGCAAAAAAACTAGAAAAATGATTCCTATTTTGGGCATGGTATACTTCTTCTCTGTGTAATGTTGGTGGCAAATACATTTTACATAATATTGAATTTATACTTTCTTTTTTAGTAAGCTGCCTCTTGCAACAATCACTCCTTAAATGTAAGGGTGTGAAAGAGTTTTATGGAAATTTTTTAAATTGTTAAGTGATTAACACTTTCCTTAAAGCTCAAAGCATATAAATTATGGAGAATTGTGGTCATTTTGTAAGGCTTGAACCATCAACCCTTTTAAGAAATGATCCTTCATAGAAAATCAAGCATTGTGTTAGTGACTAAACTGTTTCTCTGCATTTTGTGTTGAAGGTCAGTGGAATCAAGGAGGACCTTCAGCAGGAGGAGAACAAACTCAGACACAAGTTACCATTCCTAAAGATGTAAGTAACATTTATCAAGGTCTTCAATATCAAAATGGAAATTTTACTTTCTTACCAATTTTAAACCAGTTTTTTTTATGTATCCAAATGCATCATATAAATTGTAACTTCTCAAATCTAATGGTAGAATTGCATTAAACAAATGTCAAATAAATTGTGCTTTACAGTTGGCGGGGTCTATTATTGGAAGAGGAGGAGAGAGGATAAGACAAATAAGGTAAGAATATGAGATGGATACACTCAATGTTAATTCCGAAAATGATTTTTAGTATAATAAAGAGTGCTGCAATGTGTGAATGTTGGTATTTTGCATTACCATTGACTTGTATGTTTGCAGAAATCGCAGTGGTGCAAACATAAAGATCGATGATCCTCTTCCGGGTTCAAATGACAGGATAATCACCATTGGGGGCAACCAATCCCAGATTAATTTTGCTCAGTTTCTTCTTCAACAAAGGTGAGTCAGGTTGAAGACAGTCAAATGATAAATTAAAGGTTCATTCTAGAAATTGGCCAAGTAGTGCCCAAAAGTGACAATCTTTTTATCTTTTATGCCTGGACAAATTTGGTTTTACCATCTATGATAGCTAACAACTGCATTGTTTTTGTTTTTTTCCTTTCAGTGTACGACAGTACTCGGGCAAGAATTACTAAACTTATCCTGGACATGTCTGGTCACATGATTTGTCAACACCATTAGCTTCCTATGACAAGTTCATGGACTTTTTCTGAACAAAACTCTTTTTTTTTCTTAAATCCTTATTTGAAAAATTTGCATTTACTTATTTGTAAAGATTGCTATGCTAGTTTGAAATATTTCTCTTAACTTAATTAATTCAATTCTGTTCAGATTTTCATTTCATCTTGGTTTTCCAGTGAAGAGTAATTTGCATTGTTTTTAAAAGCACTATACCCACCTTGCACTGAAGATTGAACAGTAGTTCACTGAAAACTCAGCTTTAAAATGCTGGAAATAATCTGATTTTTTTTAGCATCACTACAGATCAAGTGTAATATAGAAAAGTGATTGAACATTTTATTGGCTATTATTATTTTTTTGTTGTTGTTGTTATTTGTTTTTGTGACTGAATGTGTTGGGAAATGACCTGTACATCTGGTTCAATTATGTTATAGATTCTTAAATTTGTTGTAAACTTAATAAAGCTGGTCAACTTGAAAAGGTGTTAGCAGTGATTGTCCTTAAACTATAATTTAGAGGCTAAACTTGGCACCACAAATGTACTCCAAATTGAACGGCTTATGCTTAAACCATAGCAATTTTATATTCTCAAAACGATAGCGTTAACGCTTAAACAAATCTGTTTTCACGGCACTCATTAAAACATTCTACTCTCCCCTTGTGATGGGTAGCCGGTCAAGTCGCCTGGGAGTCATCTCGCCCGAAGTCATGCCGCCCGAAACCCGAGTCATGTTGTCCGAAATTTTAGCTATGTCGCCCGAAAAAAAGTCAAGTCGCCTGAAGAAACAAATACAGACTGTAAATACTAAACGAACAAGGCTTCATTTTTTTGTTAGAAACGGAGAACACTTCCCTTTGTTTTTTAGAAACGAACAACGCTTTTAGAATCATTACTCAAACATATTTCAATTCCAAGCATACGATCGATTTCTGTGTAGTCAAAGTCTTAATGGTATTGTTAGAAACCAGGAAAGAGTTTCTCAAGCTTACGAAACGTCCGTGAGTAAGAAACGGTAAGAATAACCTAGTGGTATAAACCGTACCCATGATCCATTTTTTATCATCTATTACCAAGTAATTATAAAGTCAAGGGTCCAACTGGGGTTGCACACGGGATTTTCTGATCGCGACAGATGATAACAGTTGTTTGAGGTTCTATTGACCTAAGACGGACAACTCGAAAAGTAGCTGTATATTATATTTTGCTCACAAGGATGAGAAATACAGATTACGTTTCCCCAAAGATCAGGGTTAACCCGAAATTCATACTAAAAAAATGAAAACCCTTCGAAATATTTCATCGTTCTCTAACACAGCACTAACAGCGCACCAGCGCAAAGTAATTTGGTACCAGTTTCCCGCGAGAGCGCGCCAAAATTGTAGCACGTGACCTGATAACTTTTTCACCAAACGCATGTATTGTGTCCTGCATGTCTGGTGCAGCGGCAAAAGTCTTCGGTTCTAATTTCCAGCCAAACTATTTGTAAGTATCTCTTCCTGTTCGTGGATTTCTAATAAGTAATGGCGTATGTAACGACAAAGCTTTGTATTTTGAATGGATCTTGCAATTTACGCTTGCGAGGTGGAGAAATATTGTTGCATTTTTTTGCCATACACCCGGGTTTAATTCTACGGAGGAAACGCGAATGATGATGAGCGACTCAAACTATTTTATCTAGCCTTTGAGGAGGAGAAAATCGTTGTGAGATATTTATATCGTCGATGGCCTTGTACAGCTTGAATGTTTAATTCTGAAACGACGGGTGATGAAACGAAAGCTTGCCTACAGCGGTCGGCACATGTGCAGTTCAAGGGAAATGCCAATGCTGTGGGACTAACAAATAAGGAGTTTCTCTGTGGATGTTTTGGCGATAATTTTTTATCTCAAAGACTATAGTTTTGCTTTCCATTCAGCTGTGAAGAGATTCCATCGAAAAGCATAGCTTGATTGTGTTTGACTCGTCTGAAAAGTTGAACTTAAGTGTCAATGTGTGCTTGCTTATCGACGGTGGTCATTCACCAATTTCGATTCGTGACTCATTCGTAGTTCGTTGTCATTTGTGTGTTGACTACATGCCTGCCCTTTCTTCAAAATAGGTTCGAGGAGTAACAACTACTGATAGATACCATCATTTTCTTTATTGTACGGGAGAGAAATCTGTAATTTCAAGGACTACATTATTGCTAGAAATTAGGTTAAGTATCGACGATGTCTCTGACGTATTCTTGCACTTCCGTTCTCTGAACTCACATCGAAATTTTTCGCAAGGCGGGTTTTAATGTCTCCAAGTACTCGTCAAATCTCCACCTAGCGAGCAGTAATATGTTTTGAATGTCCTCACTCTGCATTTTTTTTTTTGCTCTGTTTCACAGGAACGTTGTACATACCTTGTATATACTGTACAGTTAGGGAACTAGAAAAATGAAAGGAGGAACTACCACTGTACCAACATCACAAAGCAAACACACAGATGGCTTGAATACCAAAAAGGTAGATCTTCAATTCCTGCTTGGTTAATTTTCGTTCCTTGTCTCTAGTTCTTTAACTTAAGTATAGTTAAGCAATCTTGAAATTCATTATTGATGATAGCTTCTGAGTTCCACCGATACATGACAATTTATGGCGTGCCATAATAATTAATAGACTTTATGTTTATAAATTGATTTTACTTAAGTTCACTTTTTGATTTTGAAAGTCCATAATTGACTGTAAGGTATTTGATGTGCTTTGAAATTAAATTTGAGAGGTAACATACCTGAAATTGAATTCTACGTAATGTAAAACCTTAAAACTACAGTAAGTCAGCAAGTGTAAACAAAAAATATTGATTTATGAAGCAAGATTATTCTCATTAAGTTTTCTAAATTAGTGAAGTCCTCTTAAGAATTTAACAATCAAGAATAGCCAAATACATTGCCACCAAGTTTGAATTGCCTTTCTTGTTGAAAAAAGTTGTTTTGGTAAGAATCATCTTGCGCCTAAATATGAGTTAGATTCAAACATTCAAGGAGAAAATTTGATATTGAAATATTTTCAGTTGGAGAACTGAAAATGGGAGAGACTGCTTGGGTCAAAATGAAATTTCTAAGTATTATTCATTATACAGGCTACAAACTTTGACAATACCAATGCTTCCAACTGATTTAGGATATCTTGGATTTCTCTCCCTCAACACGAAGACCTATATTGTTTGTTTCTGGAATATAAGGAGGAGGGCTCTTAAGTCTTGTCATCTATGAGGATGTTGTGATAGTTTTATAGCTTAGAGGGGACTTATCTTATGTGTGATATAGCACTTCAACACCATTGTTAGATCATATTAGAAAGTACGAGACAAGTGGTCAAGGTAGGACAAGGATTTAATTGTTTCAACAGTTGCTAAATGCTTCATGCATGTACAGCAATCTGACAGGTTCCAGCGCGTGTTATTGTTGTTACCAGTTTTACTGATATTTTGGGATACATATCTAACAGCTGTTTTCATTTTTAGCCAACTGCAGAACAGATCAGATATGCCCAGCTTCTAAGCACAGAAGATTCTAAAGTGGTGAGAGATAAGATCAAACAGGTATGTTTTATTATATCAGTCCATCATTCACTCTATTGATCATTCAATTAATCAATAAATCAATATCAGGAATCATTCATTCAACTGATATTATTTATCAATCACTGTGAAAAGTTGATGCTCACCTGACAGTGCTGAATTTGATATTTTCCTTGACTTGCATGTAATAAACTTCCACATGGTAACTAGGAAAAGGCTAGGCAAGAAATGGTCCAGTGTGCATACATAATGTAGCAAAGCATCTTTTTCACAGGTTCTCATAGCTCTCATATGCAGTTTATGTGAGTTACTACAATCTGTTTCAGATGGCTGGTTGCTTAGTGCATATTCTCACCATAACTTGTCCAGTTCATGTCTTTGGAACTTGTTGCAGATTGTATCCAAACCTTTTTTTTTCTCTTCTTTAGGTGTCAGATGTGACAGGATGCAGTTTTGATGTCGTGAGCATTGCACTGCATGATTGTAATTTTGATACAGAAGCCACAATTAATGCTTTGTTAGAGGGAAGCCAAGATCAGGTATAATGAAATGTTTTATGTGACTACTAATTAATGGAGACAACATAGCTTATTATTAGCAGCCAGTATTGTGGACTACAGGAGTGAATTTTTCAAGCATGCTTAGCTGTAAGCATGGTTTAATTGCTAAACTAGGAATAATTTAAATACAGGATGGGTCACTTGGCCCAACTGTTGTCATTACTTTACCTAAGGTACAGCCCCAACATAGTAGTTATAGCTTGACTTGTCAATAGACCTACATGTGAGCACAGCTGTGCTACATGTACTTTGACTTCTATTTTACAGGATCACCGGTGGTGTGAAAGCACTCATTAAAAGTTAGGCTTAAAATTTAAACTTCATTTTGTGGTAAAATCATGGATGAATGATTAGTGTTTGATACATGGACACACCTTGTACTTGTAACATGTAAGGGCTTAAACAATTTCATGACACCATGACAATGTGTGTTTCGACCAAACTCTAATTTTGTAGAGTGAATGGGTCATGAGAAAAAACAAAAAGAAGAAAAGTCAAACTCCTGTCTCACAAGGCATAGATACAATCATCCCTACATCACAGACAACAACACCAACGACTACAGCTCCAGTGTCTACTAAACCTGCCACGCAACGACCACCAAGAGGCAAAGGTACAAACCATTACTTTTTTAGCTTCTCATACTACAGCTCCCCCCATGATTAAATTTCAAGTGTAAATCAATAGTCAGTGTGATACTAAGAAAGATGTTACAGACATAGGAGAGTGTTGAATTAAGTGTTGGCTGAAATTTAATGTTACATCATTTTCTCCCTATGTTTCTTGAGGAAACATTAGACAATTAAAAGGAGAATCTAGCAGTCTATCAGATTTCACCAAAGACTTTTTTTCATACACTCTCTAAAAAGTGAGACAATTGATTGCATGTGAGTTTCATTTTCAGGGATTTGAACTTTTAGCAAGTTTTGAATTTGCAGTTGAGTACTGTTCTGAAAAAGGTCTTTATTTAACAATCAATGTAGAATTTATCATCTTTGTTACTCTTTGTGGTTGAAGAAAGTGAATTATTTGTGAGGTCAAATGACCAAGTTGCTTAGTATCCTATGGACATTTTTTCAGTATTACAGTTATAGCTGTAAATGCTACTGTATCTCATCAGTCAGTTGTTCAGCAATATGGCAATTTCAAAATTGTTTTTTCTTTGCAATTTCAAGGCAGAAACAGACAGAGTGGAGAGCAAAACAACAGTTCAGATAAGGATAATAAGAGTGAAGGAGCAATTCATAACAATAATAGACATCATGGAGAAAGTGGACGTGGAAGGGGCTCAAGGGAAGACAGATGGAATGATCGAAAACCAGGTGGCAGAGGTCTGAAGCATGTGCTTTGTTGGCCGCATGGCTTGTTTTTTTAGCACGGAAACTTTGTTCTTTTTTAGTGGGACTGAAATAAGTTAGGGTCCAATAATCATATAAATAATGACTGGTCTGTCACAAGTTAAAGCATTACCAATTTTAAAATAATTGTAACATTCTTTATTGTGTGAAGTTTCTTAATCAGGCTGCCTTCTGTGTTAATTTTGCTCTGTTCATTTTCTTCCTCTGTATTTGTATTTTTTAATTTTTTTTATCTTCATTGGTTAATAATAGGTGGCCCGCCAAGGAGGGGTGGAAGAGGTGGTGGACGGCCTGGGTAAGAGAACAGCCCTTTTTTTCATTTTGTTTAAGTACAATCAACAAAAAGGCAAATATGAGCTTGGTTATGAATTTAAGAGGGTGGTAATATGTTTTGTCACAAGCATGAGACAAAAAGAAATTCTGAGCCTTCACAAGGAATCACACATCAGACTCTCAGATTCTCACATGTTTAAAGTTTGCTGGCTGATCACTGCATTTGATTAGCAAGATATTCACATGGGTCCTTACTGCCTTTCATTTACAAACATTTAGGAGATCATTCCAATCCCGTGGGCGAGATAGATCCAACAGATATGGTGGAGGAAACAGGAATGCATCTAATTCAACCGCAGCAAATGGGCCAACAGTGAATGGTATGTTGTAGCAGACAAATGACTAATAACTTGATAGATGTATCCTTTTATTTCCTAACATTTTCATGTTCTTTTTATTTTGATGTGATATTTAGATCTCATTACTTATATATTTGCCTTAGTTCCAGTATTTGGCATGTTAATTCATTTGTTGAAGTATTTTTCAGTAGTACAAGATCTTAGGGGAAAAATTCCCTTTTAAGCCCCCTTATTATTGTGTTATATATTTAAATAGATCCTACAACATAAACATTTCAGGAATTAGACTTTGCTTCTTGTGTATGTTGAACAGGTACAGAAATGTGGGGTGAAAATGAAGATCATCTTTCAAAAGAGAAAGACACAGAACGTGAGTGATTTGACAAAGTTATTCACATAGGTCTTTAAGTATTTGAGGAGCATAATGTGGGAAAATCATTACTTTTATTATAACTTGTTGAATTTATCATATTTGTTTTTAACTAACAGAAGCTGAAGAAGTCTCACCTCTGACAACTGAAGAGTGGGAGGTTGAAGAATGGAATCCAGTTGAACAGGTACAACCTAAATGTCTGTCTGATTGCAAAAGCAAATGAACAAATAAAAAGAGCTTAGTGTGGTAGAATGCAACAAACATTGCCTTCATGGCAAGGGGGAATAATTAATACTGAGACAATTCACTTCTTTCACCAGGATATGTTTACTTTATTGTAGCAGTATTTGCCTTTTGTTTTTATTTCTTCTCTGTTCAGAAGAGGCTTATGTTTAACAGTGGCAACCCCTGGGAGGCAGCTGTAAATTTACTAATTTGTTGTATACTCCTTTTCAGACAACAACATCAAACACAAATGATACATTGTTCAACAATACTTCTTCCTCTCACTCATGGCCAGCAAATGCAGATAGCTCTGTAGTCTCATGGGATGTGGACAGGCCTACAGTTCCTAGCTCAACAGGGCCAACGGTGCCAACCTCAGACAGCAGACAGAAGGCTCCAGAGAGCACTGCTCCATTTACTCCCGAGAGGTGAACCTTGACTTGACTGTTAAAAGTAAAGAAACCAGAGGCCCAAAGCTTTTAAGAACAAGGGAAAAGGCTGTAAGCTTACCTAGGGCCACTGCAGGGTTAAAAAACTGGAGTGTAAATATGTTTGTTTAAAATTTTTAGAATAAGTTTTTCTGACAGAATCTGGAAACAAAAACAGACATTGCTCTGAAAATAGATACCATAAATTTACCTCAAGAAGGGCATTCTGTTTTAAACCCTTCCCAAAATTTCCAAATCTCTTTCAGCGTGGACATGGCCATAATACATTCAAAGCTGGCTACAAATCAACCCACAGGCAAAGATCAGTTCTCAGCGGTGGACTTTTCAATGCCTCGTATTCCTCTGCCTGGTGAGTTTCGTAACTTGCACAATAGCCATGACACTATCAGTAAGCTTCTGGACAAGGTTGTTCTGTCTTCCTCTGTTGGAGTGGTGCCTCAGAGTTCCTCAACAACAATTCAAGCTCAGCCACAGAGGCAGCCCCGCACAAGCAGACCAAAGAAGTCACAGAAAAGCCAGGTGAGTACTGCAACAGCACCTTATTAACCTGAATTTTTAATGGAAACAAAACACACTAGTTTTATGTTTCAAGGAGCTCAAGGTAGTGATAGTTATTTCTGAAAAAATGCACTTCAAGGAATATGGCTTCAAATTCAATCTAGGTGGAAGTTTGATTCATTCAAGTTTAAGTAAGTAAGGTTCTACTAATATATTTTTTTTTTTGGGGGGGGGGGAGAGAAAGATAGGTTATAAAACCAGCTTAGCAATTCAACATTAACTAGGGTATGAGGCTAACTTTGTTATTTTTCATTTGTAGATTCCATTGCAAGCTGTTGAGATGCCAGGGACAATGGTTGACAATCTTGATGTGCAGGTAAGTGTCCTGTGCCTTGAATGTATTGGGTATTGGTGACTCAATCAATTAAATTAAAAGTACTTAATTGCCTCAATAATGCACTGATTTGGTTTGTTTTTAGTTTGGAAATTTAGAGTTTGGTGGTGATTCTGTTAGCAGCCCACGAAAAAAAGAGGTAAGTTGCAATACAAGGTCATATGCTGTTTGAACAGAAAATATTTTTCCTATAGAATGATTGTGTTTCACTGCTTCATTTGATTCTGCATTGACATAATTTTTTTCTTCCTGTTAGGAGTTCCCTGCAAGTTTGCCCATAGTTGGAGACACAAAGTCTGATGAACAAAGGTGAATAAATTGCTCTATGTCAGAATGGGGGAAAACTGTATTATTATTCATGATGTTAACATGCAGCAGTTAATCATTCACAGTGAGTTCAATTATATTCAGTAAATTAATTTTAACTACGTTTAGCTCAAGCAGTAGCAGTGAGTCATCAAGTCCACCTTTGGAACCTCAGCGTACTGTGACAAGTCTGCCGTCTGCTTCCATCACCAAACCTATCACAATAGCGACTTCAGCCTCAGCTTCATCAAGTGTGACAACACTAGAGGAGAGTTCACCTCGACATTTTCAGCACCCATCTCCTCGAAGTCAACAACAGGCACTTGTGTCTCAAGTAACCAAGGTTTGTGGAAAAAGAATTTAAAATTATGTCATTACATCCTTGTGGTTATTTAAGACAAAGCAATTAAAGTGCATCAGATCCTATGATATGAGCTGATTATCATTTTCTTTCCTTGCAGCAAATCACACCAGAGCCAATTCCACTACCTCCACAGCTTGACTCAAGAGATAGTGTCATTTCAAGCAAACCGCCTCTTTCAGATGATCAACAGAAATCTTCCCCCAGTCTGCAATCCTCTGCCATTCCATCCCCTTCCCTCAGTGGGGCCAATCTGACTCAAACAGGCTCCTCATCTCCATTGAGACCAGGGTTGTCTTCATCAATACAGAAAGATATCACCCTTGAGACAAGACCATACCAGGTAGAGGTTCTTCTCCAAAGTTGAAGCTCATTTGATTCATAAAATTAATTAAATTAGAGTTGAAAGGAAGAAGTGCCAACATGCAAGCAAATATCATTGCATTCTGTTATTCATTCCAAATGCTTTTTATTGTTGCTGCTTCTTTCGTGTCCTTGGTAACTTTTATAGATGTTTATTTACAGCCTAAACTTATGTATAACTTTATTGTTTCTTTCAGAAACATCATGTTACTCAACCAACAGTGCCATCAACTAAAGATAAGCTTGGAACTAGTTCACTGACTAGCTCTGCTGTGTCAACTGCAGTGCAGCGGAATGATCTGTCCTCTGTAGAGCCACTCCAACCCCCTCCTGGGGTGCCTGTGCCCCCATCAGTGAACCAGTCAACAGCTTCTACATCATCAGGGTTCACTACAGTTACCATGTCAGGCACAGGCAAACCAGTGTCTCATACCAGTATGTAACTTTGGTCTGAATTACTTTCAGTATCACCCTTTCCCAGGTTTATGTTGTGGTTCAAAATTTCTCTTGGTTTAAAATGTTCCCCCTTATTTCATTTTTTATTTTTGTCTTTTTTTTTCATATTTATTGTTATCCTCTTAAACAAAGAAAACTACAAATTGAACTTTTGTGAAAATTGAATGCCCATACCTGTAAGCACTGCTTTAACCATTGCTTGTTTTCCTCCAATTTTTCCCTCTTCACAGAATGGCAGTTTAGGTCACTGATTTAAAATAGATGTTTAAAAATTTGATTTAAAATCACACAAGTAATAACTTATTTTTACATGTACCTACAAGTATAAATGAGTCCTGCATTTTGGTAAGGGATGAAGTGCAGTTGTCGTGACAATAGAAATTAAACTAGGGCATATTTTTTCCTTTTCCTCAAATTTTAGCTAAGCCATCATTACCTCCTGGAGTTTTGCCATTAAACACTCTTTATGGAATGCAGCAAGGCCTTATTCATGCTTATGTAAGTATACCAATAGACTGTTTCCAAGGAAATTTATTTTGTGCTTATTATTGGTGCTATTTTATCTTGCAGCCCCTTCCATATGGTTACGAAGATCTTCAAAGACTACAAATGGTAATTATTGTAATTATGCTTCATAAAACAGTTCAGTTCAGATTTCATTATTTTATCATGTCCCAGAAATAAGTGAACTTTAATATTGCTCCTTAAATCAAACCTTTTTGACTAAGGGAACAGACTCACTTAGGATTGTGCTATTGAAATATCAAATTACATCACATAGAGAATCTATAACTACAGAGCAGTGGTAGTTCATGGAATGCACTAACACATTTGCTCTTTATCTGCAGTCACAATACTATGACATGCCTGCTTTCCAAGCAGCTGGTAGGGATGGCCTGTCAACAACATTTCATGGTAAGACACTTCTGTATTCCAGAGAGGTATTCATCAAAGGATGTGAACCACTCTTGCTAGGTAGCAGGTTTGCACCCTGGTCGTCCTAGTGAGAGAATCCTTTTGACTTGTCTGATGGGCATTTAGGGGCAAGTTCGATATGAAATAAATCCCCAACAAAGGAATAACCAATCCCAAGGATCCGAATGGCACAAGATCCCATTGTGGATCACTTTGGAAGTGAAAAGGAAGGGAAACAAAGAATAGGACCACAGCAGATTTGAAAATTGACTTCCCATGGATGTTTTGTTTAAAATTTTATTTGTGACTTTTTAAGAGTATGGGTTTGATATGCTCTTTGATTTAGACTCAGTTTCTTCCATCAAACTTTTCAGGAAGGCTATGTTTAAACTCACTGGGAGTTTACCATTTCTGTGCTCATGGGTACTTGAACACTTTATTTTTGTTTTTTAGGAGATCAAAAGTTTGGGCGGACTGATACATCCTCTCCAGTTCCTTCATCCCTGAACCAAGCTGTGACCCTTCCTCAACCTCATCTTCAGCAGCAGGCCTTTATAAATGCAACAACTATGCCACATCCTTATGGTTATGGTGGACTAGCATTCTACCCAGGGGCTGGAATGATGGCAGGGGGCTTCCCTGCTTACACTGCTCCTATGTATCAGGTAAATAGGGTTGCATGATTCAAGTTATGAGATTGGTGGTAGGGGAAGGGAACTCTTGAAAGTTGGACTGGAAAACAATTCCAATTTGTATGTTCTGTCTTTGTAAAAAAATAAGCAAACAAAAACAGAAATTCCCCAAGTAGTTTTGAGTAATTTTTAATATTTTTTAGCATTAAGTACATTTTAAAGTAGTCTCTGACAGGAGAGTAGATTGTTGTTATCTGGTAAAGAATATGGAGGATAACAGTATCTTTTTCCAGAGAAGACAGAGATAACTGAAAATGCTGGGGAATGAATAAAAGCAGGATTTGAGACTTTATTCAAATCATACTGACTCTTCTTCAACAGATGCCAACAAAAACTCATGGGAATGCATCTCAGTATCAGTCTGGTTACACCTCAGGTCAGCATGGCAGTTATACATTTGTTTGTGATATATTAGTTATCCACCTGGTATCAGGTCTATCATAAATCTTGGGATTTTTTTGAAACTCAGATACTTCTGAATTGAAGTACTTAATATCTATTTTTTTAATTTTTTGGAGCTTTCGCTGCCTATTGTCAAACTACTACTGTCTTTTTCTAGTTGGTTGTCTACAAATTAAACAGTTTTATTTCCTTTGCCTCTAGGATATGATGATTTAGGTCAGACACATGACTTTGGGAAGTCTGGTTACCACACTTCAGTTTCACCATCACAGAGTAAATCTAATTCAGGTTTGTGACTTTCATATTAGTTATTTAGTACTGGTAATATTAAGAGATAATTTATCAGTTGTACACAGTGAGTTGATGAATCAGTTCAACTGAGGAATATCAACACATCCATCTGATAATTTTTCTTATTGATAAGATCATTTTTTTCACATGTTGAGCTTATGAAATTTTTTTCTGTTGACAGGTCCAGCTGTAAGTAGTGCTTCAGATCTCTCAGGAGCTTCTTACAAACCCCAAGTTGGAAAGGTAAAATATTGTTTATTTGCAGTGTTCAAAGTAAATGATGATAAATTTATTTATTTGTTAAGGAAGGAAATTCACTGGGTTAGTAATCAGATGTTTCTTTGGCCACATTTCTCTTATTTATCTGTGACACTTTCTTTAGAAGACAGTTAAGGGTTATGTCAAAGGACCCAACAATAAAATGTTTGCAAATACACTCAGTGGAAGATTCAATTCCCACCTACAAATAACATTTATGCAAGTGTTGGCATTCTCTATTATTAGGTGCTTGTCAGTATCGCAAATATTAACCTCTTATCATTAGGCAACTATAACTAATGGGTCAAATGTGGTTTAGTTTGTAATGACCATTTTTTCTGCTTATAGTAATGTGAAATACTTTGTTCCTTTTTTCAGTTCAATGACAACAAACCATTTATGGGTGGTACACCTCCACCACCAGCGTTAAATCTGTCCATGACAGGACAGCATGGTCCTTTGGGAAGCTATCCACATACAGGACACCCATTCATGTCAATGATGACCCCTGTACAGCAACACCACCCACCATCCCACTACCACCACCATATGCCTCATCATATGGAAACAGGCCAGCCTGGATCATCTCAGAGAGGGTCTCAAGGACAGGGGCCTAAACAAGGGCAGAATAAGGGTCATCAGGGTGGCTACCAAGGATCAGGGTTCTGGTCTGGAACAAATTGAATGGAGCTTACTGTGATTCACTCAAACTGAATTGTTTGCAGTGTAATATTGATGTGGTGCTGGTCTGTTCCTCCTAAGCTAGTGTGAATTGTGTTCCCTAAGAGTAAAGTTATTTCAAGACCTTTTAGGATGTAAATGATGTGTACAGGCCCCCCTTAAGGAAAAAACAAGCATGTAAATGTGTTTTGCAATAATTTAATGTTTTCTTAGGTAGCCACAGCAAGCATTTTACAGATTGTAATCTTTGAAATAAACATGGATAATTTACAATGAAAGTAGGGATATTTTGTTTTGTCTTTAAAAAAGCACAAATTTCCTGATGAGTTCAGATATAAGCTCATTATGTGGAAGTGTACTGAATTTATTTTCGACAGACAAGTCAGCTTTTGGACTACCTCTTCACACTTGCACTGTGCTTTAGTTCTGATCAAAGTTACTTCCTGTTCTCTTAACTATCCCCTAATCTATCAGCATCCATTCCTCACTCCGTGAACAGCTGAAGAGAGCAAACACCATTCTCAAGGCATCAAACCAACAACCTTAAAAGCCAGTTAAAATAGTGAGTAGTTTATGAAGCACATGTCTATTCCTTGAATTGCCACTCCTGCCTGCACATCGGGCACAGCTGTTGATGCAGCTGCGAGTTTAGCCATTTAAGAATACAGTGCATGTGAAAGACATGAGAACAACGACCCCAAACTGAAAGAGGAAACGGATAGTTGAGTCTTATAAAGGTATCTCCTGGTTCAAGATCACATGTCATGAGAAAGTATCACCTGAATAGTCATATTTGTATTACAAGTATTGATTTCGACAATTATGTCATAACCTGAAGTGAGAGCTGAAAATGCCATCACTTGCAGAGTAATGCAGCTTGCTTGAACAAAACATTGTGATCTTACCTAAAGGACAGTCATCCCCTGGTATCTTGCAGTCTGGACAACAACCATCAAATGCCATGCGACAAATACCACAATTGTCATCATTGGCAACCCAGCGCCATGTGGCCACACCAGTCCACCTAAGGAACACATGATCACATTTATGTCTGAGTGGGTAATTTAAGATCAAGCAACCCTTCACAAGCTACAGCCATTCACAGGCTTGAGGTTATTCCAGTTTTCTTGGCCTAATATTACTACTTACTAACAGTACCATTTTGTACTACATTTTACTTGAAAATTATTTAAACCTACATGTCTACATGGGACTGATGCATCCTAGACACTGTTACATGTAATGTGGGTGGCAATGACAGAAAGGGTTCTTTGGTCACAACTTTCACTACAGCTGGTAAGTGGGGAATAATCTTAATAATTTTCAATAAAGTACAGTAGACCTTAGCCAAACATGAAGGAGGGGAAATCTCGCCTTCCCTGTCCCACATAATCATCTTCTTAATACAAAAAAAACTCTTCCCCTATCATTTCACCTAAATTTTTCGACAGATGATAGGTAATTATGGTTGCTAATTCCCACTTAACATCGAAATGGCCTCAAGAGCTATGTGTTCCGAATAATAGGAGTGTTAAAAGCCAAGTTGTTTGTACTCACTCTGAATGGTGACAAAAGGATAAAATTAAAATAATCAGCCATTTGATGAATTTTTCGTGCAACAGCAGGATCAAGAAGTATGCCATATCATAAGAGAAAAGAAAAAGCACATTGCAAATACGTAAGATTTAAAAATTATTTCCATCTAATAGAGCATGAAACAAAGTCAAATTAGGTTAAAGTTTCGCGAAAAAGGCCACTTACGCTTCACTTTGACTTTCATACTCTGCCACTTTCAAAATGGCCGCGGGAACTCTGGACCCAGGCTCTCTCTCCCAATTAGTAAGAACGCCTGGCCAATTTCGACATTTCGATGGCAAGGGAACAGTTTCTGCCATGATTGCATTTCGACGCATTCGTTTCCTTAAAAACTTTAGTGTAAGGACTGTGGCATTCTACTCTGTTGTTTCCAGTAGAAGTAGCTTGATTCTGTCTGCAAGTAGAAGATCACATGTTGGGCTGCTGTCGAAAAGACTTCAGGTGAAACCTTCCGTGGTTTAGCTTCTTCTTTTATTATTTCCAGCTGTTTCTTTTGCAATCAAATTGACCTCCTTTCAAACTTTTCACAACACATTTGATCAATTTCAGCTCGACCAAAGAAGGATTCCCCTGACAAGAGCGTTCAGTACCGAAAGGTTTGTATCCTGGTTTGTTCATTCCAATGTAAAATATTAGAATATGTTTTTTTAATTACTCCTACAATATGAAATTCTCCGTGCCTGTTTCTATGTCAGAGATAACTGGAAATTGCACTTTGATACTTTCAGCACCCTAGATGAGTTATCTTACCACAGTATCGCAGATGAGACACTGGATGCCATAGCTGAGTTATTTGATGACCTTGGTGAAAGCCCATCAAGCCCTGCTGACTATGATGTCCAGATGAGTGTGAGTGTCAATTGAGTTATTATAGATCAATGTTCATGTATTGCACAATCCAGTGGTTCACAAAGTGACTTAGCATTCACTTTCCTTAATGACATTTTTCTCCGTCAGAGAAAAGGTAAAAGGAACCAAGCATATTTAGGGGATATTTTCTTTTTTAAATTCCATCCACTACTTGAACCAGAATTGATCTATTTGGAAGTGTCAAATAATTTTAAAAAATGGCAGGGTGCTTTTCTCTTCAGCTGTTTATCACCTGTTTATTACCTTGTAATTCTTGTTAAAGTGTTGGACACAGAAACAAGAATTTGGGAAAATTCAAAACAAGAATCCAGAACAACATATTAGCTATTTCAGGTAACCATATCAATCACTTTGTCATCATTAAAAAAAAAACAACAATTAAACAATTTACAATCAATTAGTATCTCAGGGCTCACCATGTTCTTTTTTCTTATTAGGATGGAGTCCTAACAGTCAACTTGGGAGGTAAAATTATTTTGTTTTTATTACACAAATTAAAGATAATTCTCATCCTTGCCCAATATGCATATTCTTAAAAAATTCTTGAACTCCAAGTCTCTCCTCTGCCTTCTCTTTGAAGTGAGGTTTTTCCAAGTGATATCATTAAACTCGAAATTATCCCAGAGGTATCTGAGAACTAGCTTGAGACATATGTAAAGGCAACTGAGTCATATTATACATGTAATTGTTTGCTTAAAAAAAGAAGAGGTTTGATTTAATTGTGTTCTTTCAGCTGGACGTGGTACCTATGTGATCAACAAACAAAGCCCTAACAAACAAATATGGTTGTCCTCTCCAACAAGGTAAACAAGAGACATTTACTCTAGGTCTACCTTTTCACTCTACTTGTACAAACTTACTTTTCTCAGCTTTTTTCATCATGCACTTCTTTTTTAAACTTTTTGGAGATTACTCAGAATTGTTAAAATTCTGTCTATTCTGTTAAATTTCAGTGGTCCCAAGAGGTACGATTTCAAAGATGGTTCCTGGATATATACACATGATGGTGTTTATCTTCATGATCTTTTATCATCAGAGATTTCTGCGGCACTTGGACATGAAGTGGACTTTACTTCACTAACATATGGTGGAGCAGATGGAAAGCTTAGTTGATAAAGGAAATTAACCAATAAAAAGCTAGGCATTCATTTTCACAAGTTAGCTCACAATAATTACTACATAAAGACCATTACAGCTTGGAAATCATCTTTATTTATGGCAATGTTAAAAACTTCTAAATTATCCAAAGCCTGTTATCTAATATTAACACAGAATGTTTGAAAAATGTGCTGAGGAGTAGTACTCAACAATAAGTTTCAACTCAATTATTTTGAACTTAAGAGCCAAGATTGTAAAAGACTCTACTGGTAGTAAGGGTAATCAGATAATTTTTCCACAAAAATGTCAACAGAGAAAGTGCTTATGTGCAAATCGAATTTGCCTTTATCATAAAAAGTGATGGTATTTTCTTACAAAAATAACTTGTATTGAGCTTAGATTCATTTATTACTCAAGTCCTGGAGACTATTCCTTGCAATAGTTTTGTCATTTTCTTTTTTCTTTTTAAGAATGTAATCTTTATACTTAAGTTGTTTTTAATTTTGAAATTTCATCTCTGCATTTGATGATATTAACTAAGACACAGTGTTTGATGTCTCTTGTATCATGAACACTGTGTATGGTTCTAATTAGAACAAATGCTAAACAGTGCAGAGTCAATGTGACCATGCTTTTCATTGTCAAATGGTTGGTATCCCTGTAGTCTTGCTATTCTGAGAGGTTCAAAGAGTGGAGAAGGGAATGAGTCCCAGTCATACCAACCCCAACCTAAAGACAAAAACCAAGCAAATAGATAATTAACAACTTATATCACTTCTACAGACTCTTACTTTGTTTATTGTACTGTGTAGATACTAAGTGACTGATTGCTTATGCAAGGATAACAATAATGAGTTTTGAAAATGGGAAATGCAGAGGGTTAGTGGTGGATTAAGTGGCCTGGGTTCAAGAAGTGGCTGGGTTGCTGCATTGTGTTCTTGGTTAAGACACTTAGGTCTGATTATTTAAACAAAGCTTAACTGTTGTTTAACAAAGCTGTGTCCTAAACAATCCCTCAATTTAGCTGAACCTTTTATCTAACCATCTATTTATGTGAACAGCCTCAAGAGGGCTAAAAGCTAACAGTGGAATTTAACTTATAAAGAAAGCCTGAGGCCCGCTGATTACGTAAAACTGTGGTTTGGGTAAGACCTCCTGCAAACTGATGCAGAAACTGGACAAAAATTGGGGGTAACCTTCAGAAGGAATGACATTCTGTTCATCGCAAAAAGAGAGACATAAGTCCAAGCTTTGTGTTACATAAACTGATATAATTTCTGGCAGGGTTTGCTTTCTAGCTGAAGAGTAGATGTTTTCTTTCTCCCCTCACCTTCACACTTGTCTGGTTCCAGGTTCTCTGGTTCTTTTGCCTGGCTGTTATCAATTTCTCCTTTCATGAAAATTGTTATGTAATGGTAATCCTCTTCAGGAACAACTGCATTAACTACAGTTCCAAATGAAACATTCTTAATCTTCAGTCCAGTTTCCTCTAATGTTTCTCTTGCTGCACATTCAGACCATTCTTCACTGTTAATAAATTCAGAAAACTTGATATGATCACAGCTGGCTCACAGCTGATTGCTGGCTGAGTGATAAATTAAAGAATCCTTACACAGGTTAATGTTGGAAACTGAGTCAAAGTTCTCCTTGCTGCCAGAATTTATGAAAATGCCTTGAAAAGCAGATATTTTAGATGTTTTGTGGAGTGTTACTTTGCTCTATTCTCATGTAAATATATCTCTTAATGAAAATCTTGATTGTATCCATGTTAAACTGTTAACTACTCGAAATTCCTTGAAAAGCAGATATTTTAGATGTTTTGCAGAGTGTTACTTTGCTATATTCTCATGTAAATATATCTCTTAATGAAAATCTTGATTGTATCCATGTTAAACTATCTCTGGGTCAAGGAAAAATCCAAGCAAAGCTTCTTTATAATATATCTTTATGGGATGGACTATTCCAAAAGCTATGGTGGATGAGTGAAAGAGTAAGGAAGATTAACATACTAAAAGTATAGAAAGCAAGTAAATCATGTACAGCAAGAACTTGAGGATAAACCAATGCATTGACTCTCCAATTCATTTTGCTTGGAGCATAAATTTGAGGCGAAATTATTAGTCTACTAATTATTCCCACGCCCCTCCCCACCCTTCCCGCTTCCCACCGTACCCCCGTCTGAAGTTCTTTTAGGGCTCTCTACCTCACCAACTGGCATGCGCTGTAAAACTAAATTCTCAAGAGAGAGGTCCATTTCGAACCAATGCTTGACGCATTTTTAACTACATCTCCCACTAAAACGGAATCAGCTCATTTCATAGCATAGGCAGGATGGTTGATAATAACTTACATAATCGTTCATTTTGCAATTACCGGTAATTTATAACACTAAGTAATATTTCTCACCCAAATTCCAAATGTCCCCCAGGTAACCCATACTTCCCACTTCCTGATGAGCCTTTTCTCTGTCCAACTATGACACAGTTAGGGTGATCAGATGAGATTATAAACACGCCAACACCGACACCGACTTTCCGTCGAGCGCTTTTGTCCGCCATCTTTGAAGTTGGCGCGAAATAAGAGTTGTAAGAGATCTGGGAACTGCTTAGAAACGCGCCTGCAAGATTTTGTATTTGAGACACAAAGATGGACGACTACGAGATGATAATTTTGCAATGATTTAGGAGAAGTAGTAAGCAAAAATGCCGATACAGGTGAAGGACTACGTTTGGGAGGAAACAGATGAAACGGTTTTGATTACTGTTCCTTTGAAAGGAGTGCCGTCAAATCGAGTGGATATTTTTTCAATTGATGATTATATCAAGGTTAGTTGTGAATGTGTGCAGTCTGTCAAGATAGATTGAAATGGGAAGAGTTCCCAATGTCACATTTAATTGAAGAGAAAATATTAATAGAGTATCGCCCATAGGCTAGCTATCCTCCGTATATCTTTGAAGTCTTCCTGTTCGGTGAAGTCGAAGATACTAAGAGTAAGGCAACATTTGGCAGTGGAGTTGTCAAGTTTCAATTATTAAAGAAGAGCTCATCCAAATGGAATCAGTTACATGCATCAGAATCAGAGGACAAAGAATTCATGAGAAAGAAACGAGAGGAAGCTGTTGGTAAGGCGCACGAGAGAGCTGAAAAAGAAAAGCAAAGAAAAGCAGCTGAGAAACGAGAACAAGAAAAATTGGCACTTCAAGAACAGATGAAGGTTTGGTGTATTGAAATTCTGTAGAGATAGCGATCATGCATAGCACTAGTTTTCCTTTGAACTGATTTTAGAGCAGTTTGGTCTGAAATGACGTGCGTGATTTCCAAATGCCCTGTGCAAGTCCAATGTAAGATCACAAGTATAATTTCAGACCAAAATTAATCAAGACAGAGTTCTTTATTAACAAAAGACTAAAACTTCTTGTGTTTGTGTAAATGTCAGCTGGAACAGGAAGAAAGAGCTAGAATAGATGCCATAAAGGAGGAAGAACGTAAAAAGGCAACTAAGGCCATTGAAAGATGGAAAGAAAATCAAAAATTGCAGCCTACAAGCATAGAAGAAGAAAAAGTCACTTCGAACAGTAATGTAAATCAATATGAAGACACCAACATGTCTGCAACAAAAGCTGACCTAGAGGTGGGAGAGTATCAAGAGCCACTTCTAAAACCAGCTACAAAGAAAATGGCTCCTTACAACAAAGAAAGGACAAATGGTACGACTGTCAATTTTTATGGTGTTACCCGCTACAAAATTAAGGGGATTGGTAGAAAATGAAGGTAGCTTTTTAAACCTTCTCATAATCTCTTGTTTCCTTTTCTTTGATATCTGTTGTTTACTAACCATGCACATGCATTTATTTGAATGATACTCTTTAGTTACCTTGCTCCAGTTTGTTGTTCTGACAATGTAGTCTCCATCTTTAGAAAAAAAGAAAGACTTCCTTGAAAAGGCAGTTCCAGAGCCAAGGGTATCTGGCTCCATTTCAGTGTCATTCACTCCTCGTGTTTTCAAAACAGCTGCAAGAGAATCCAAAGCACCAGAAGAAGAAGAGGTAACTCATCTTTATTGTCAGTTTAATCTGTAAGTCACAATCTTCCTCCAGTTTTTATTTTTGTTTGTGTGTGATTGCTTCTACTCCAGTTTCTTATGATAATCATGTAATGTTCATTAAGAAGCTATTCTACAGTGTACAGCTCTGTAACTCTGAAACAGACCATCCACCACCACAACCCCACACCCCCTCCTCCCCTGCCTCTCAGGTCTTGCATTGGTCTAAGCATCTCACATTTCATAGTATAGGGTGTGAGATGAAAATTAATGAAATATTTCCAATTAAAGAGTTGACCCTTAACTTAGGGATCAGACATTTGACACCATTAGAATTTGTGAGGATCCAATCCTTTCTGTTCAGTGGTTAAACATGAAGATTTGTTTTTGTTCATAGTGGCTGAAAAAGATGGCTGGTGCAAGCCGAAAAACAGATACTACCAACACTGATGCTGTTGATATGGAAGAAATGAACCCAGTGTGGTTAAAAGACAAAGGAATGTGAGTTTGCTCCCTTTACATCCCAACATCAGTATAGTTACATATTCTCCAGACTGTCCTCTAGATATTTCCTATGGATTGTGAATGAGAATTTGTAGAAAAATCTAGAGCTTCTTTAATCAGTGATCATTCTCTTAATTCTCATGACTTTGTTGTTTGATTCAGCCATGATTCTGTTAGGGAGAAAATTAAAAGACAGTCACTTCTAGGGCTAAAAGGGTTACAATGAAGACAGGGTAAATGATATCTTAACTGGTATAAAACATACAACAAAAATGGACAAATGAGCAAAGAAAAGAAAGGAAGAAAAGAACAAACTTCATCACAGGAGGGAGGTATGATCAGAGCATATCACAGTAGAATGTTTTGAAACCAAATCCATAAGTATCACAACAAACCACACAAGCTCAAAGTTGAAATTAAGCAAACACCCTGAAACCAGTGCAAATGATCAAAACTGCTGAATATTACTTATCTGAATTTTTTTCCTTTTACTTTTAATATTCATTAAGTCGAATTTTATCGAACTTAAAAAGTACTTTAAAAGTACTAACTCCGTTCAGTGAATCAAATTTATAGTGAAATTTCTCTTAATTTTATGTTTTTGACGTTCCGTTGGCAGTGGGTTTTACAAGGCTGGAAACTTTGTAGCGGCTATCAATGCATTCACAGCAGCCATCGTACTGGATGACTCAATACCATCGTATCCTTTAACTGAAGAAAACTAGTTTGCTATCACACTCTTTCCCAGTCCCAAACCGTCTGTTACCTTTCTCTCCTTAGCTCAGTTCAAAAGAGGAGCTCAAAAAACAGTTCTTAGAATACTTCCCCATCTTATATTTGATAGCAATTAGTTGTAAGGAGGAAAGCTTTGCGAGAGAGATTGAAACACTTTCTGGAAGAACTACTTAGATATAAAGACTATGAACTCACTATTTTCGCAAATCACCCAAAGATAAACTTACTCTGGTCTTAGAAAAAGTTCAAAGATAATAATAAGACAAGTTAACCAAAATATTAAGATCGTAACAAATTCAAAAAGAGCACCGTATCATCTTAATGAGAAAACGTTGGACATAGGGGGAGAAGGGAAACGGTGGCTGAGGAAGAAAAAAGATTCGCCTTGTTTTTGTTTTTGTTTGTATATTTTTTTTATCACGTCTTTTTCGTCAGTTGTTGAACTACTTGTTACACAAATAAGAACGCCTTTTAATTAAAAGAAATATAATCACGGGTGTTTTTGTAACGTGGATGCGACAACTTAGACAAATACGGGGTGTAGCAAAATACTCGGATGAAAATGAGATTCTCTCCTTGACTTTGTGAAGGTTATACTCTAACCGTGCTGCATGTCATCTTCAATTGAAACAGTACAAAGAGTGCATTCAAGACTGTACAAGTGTAAGATTCTCGTCAAATTTTCAGCTTCTATTTTTTAGTACAAAGTGAGTTTTATTTCATTTGAGTTTACTTCTGATGACGTTCGTTCTACAGTCACTAGAACTCCTTGTTCCTCCGGTTCCGGCCAATTGTGCTTCCAGATGTAAAGCGCATGTCAGACGAGGGACCGCGTACATGCAATTACAAGAATACGTGCTGGGTGAGTAAACGGGTTTTCATTGCGGTTTTCATATAACCTCGGAAATTATAGTAAACTTGGAGATTTCTGACCGTAATTTACACTTGAATGATTAAACAAGAAAGGGCTCCATTATTCGCCAGTGTTTGGAATTTCTGACGTTATAGTTTTTGTGTATGATACACGCCTTTTTTTTGTGTGTAACGACAGCTTTTTGAAGAAATCGTTTGGTTAAAGTGCGAGGTCGTGTTATAAATCATTGCATAGACTGCCACTAAGCAGATGATTCGGTCACAGAATAACAGTGTACAGCCGCCCTTAAAGAAAAAAATTAAGGAGTTGACAGACCCTAAAAGAGCACCAGCTTTCGCAGTAGCAACTCTGTCATATCTTTTAAATGGGTTATCAGCTTTTTTCTCTTTTGTTTTGTTTTGTTTTGTTTTTTCATTGAACGTGAAACAACATCAGAACAGAGATTAGAAGAATTTTGCAGTAGGAAGGCCCCAAACATTAGTATCGACCTTGGTTTCATTATCTTTGTTTTCTTAATTTATTTTCTTTCAGCTCTTCAAGACTATGAATCAGCCCTCAAGCTTGACCCTAAAAACGTAGACCTGAAGAACGACTCAGAGAGAATAAGAAAGATCATTCAAGGCTCCACATAGCTTCAGAATAAATTATGTCATCGAATGATGATGAAAAAGTCGCACTTTCTGTAAGAGTCTGATGCTTTCGGTCTGAGGAATAGACCACTTTGATGAGCGAATGAACCTTAGACCTGAAATTCAACAATGGACAGCGATTTGTACGTTAAATTATTTGTACAGGGTTAAACTGCTCTATGACTTAGCTGAAGCATACGCAATGTTGAAAAAATCAATGAAAAATTTGAATTTAAAGTATCTCAGCAACCATTGATGTTTAGGAAAAGGTGAAAATTCCACCGACAGATCACCTCACCGTTCGCTTTATCCCGAGATCAAGACTCGAGAAATCAAAGAAATAAAAATATGTGATTCTCTTTACTGTACCAGTGAGCTTTCTTCCCCTCAATAGAATGTCAATTTTAAAAAAGAAAACTGTCCATTCAAACTCTGAAAACTGTGACAGTATTTTTACTCTTAATAAAGAGGACAAGACGTGAAAACAACTTTTTTTATATACAGAAACTCTTCCAACCGCAAAATAGTTTACGCGTGCCAAACAGTTTTATGCTCATTTTCACTAAAGTGCGTCCAGTTACCGAGCCTTTCTTGCCGAAACTGTGACTCTTTCCGGAGTAAGCTTGAAGAAAAGGTTCAAACTCTCATTTTTGTGGCTAACAACCGTGTAACATCTCCAGTGTTGAGTTTCTACTCATTAGACGTTTGCCTTAAATACCTGAGGTACTTTTCAAGTTAGACTACGAGCAGTCCCTCCTTTCGGGCGAAGTCCGTCGCGCGAGTCACAAAAAATTAGTGGAAAAAAATTGATGTGCCCAGGGTTCTGCGCGGCGCGCTAACATCAAACATCTTTTTTTTTTTTTTTTTCCGCTTTTTGACTTGCACAAGGAATCCGCCGAAAAGGAGGGACTAAAAGTGTGGTCAGAATGGTAATTTTGCGGCGAGGTTTATGGAAAAATACATGCTGTAGTACAAGACGTAGTTATCCAGATTTTAGTACCCAGTCCCAAATGAAGGAAAAGAAGAATCAAAATGGAGGGACGCTCAAAACGATACAAAAAGATTGATTTTTTGGGAGAAGGACAGGTACATAATGAATTTAGCCATGCGATTAGATACCTAATGATAACTTTTAAATGTTTCCCTTTGTCTGTGGTTTAGTTCGCCACTGTATACAAGGCTGAAGACCAGGAAACTCATGCGATTGTGGCAGTGAAAAAGGTGCGTAGTACTACACGCAGAAATATGTCGTTCTTAGGGCTATCAACAACTAGACAAATCTTAGTTATCGTTTCACTTTTATCACTTGATTTAAAAGGTAAAAGACTCATATATGGGAAGATATTGCAGTTATAGCTACTAGTCAGGGGCTCTTAAATAAGAAAACATTTTTCTGAATGTTCGGGAATGAATCTATCGGATACTTTGTTGATTTTGACGCTGGAAGAAGCTTGAAATTGTCAGGCCTCTTTCCTCAATTTATTTTTATCTGCAGAGCATTTTCGAGGATCACTTCCTTACTTGAAGGATGTCTACTGCTGTATTGCTTGTCCGATAATTGATTGGTCACCGTTGCAGTTTTTAATACCCTGCATAACAATTTTATGTTCCTTGCAGATCAAACTTGGTCAGAGGAGTGAGGCAAAAGATGGTAAGTCATTGATAGCAGCTCTTAAGAAGATCTAAGGTCAGATTTTCCAAACTAAAAAGCGCCTAATATTTCTGCTCGTCATCACTCATGGTCTTGAGTGAAATTTTCCTCTGGCATAACCTTGGACAACCCCCTCCCCCCTCCCACCCTCCTCCCTTATACCATCTCTCTTTTCTCTCAATGATCCATGTGAAGAGAAGTTGACAACTAGTTGCTGAAAGAAAACTATTAGATGTGTTAAAAACCATCAAGTGTTGTTTGCTTTGCAGGAATCAACAGAACTGCATTGCGAGAAATCAAACTTTTACAAGAGCTGAGGCATCCAAACATAATTGGGGTAAAAGAACATTAAATTCTCTCAACTCGACATTAGCTATATGTTTTAAATACACTATTAATACATTGCTATTATTAATTGTTTTTATGCTTTGCATAAAATTTTGGCATTGTTGTTTCCAAGTAGTTTTAATTTTTTTATCAGCCCCGGATGTCATTCATCAAGATAGCTATAGATTAGAACAACAGATGAAGCAGGATTTTCAGTCCAGTTCTGCAGAGCCCATGGTCTTTTTAGGATCTTATATTAGCACCAAACACATATAATTTTCTCCTTGTTGTATCTTCACAGCTTCTTGATGTATTTGGTCACAAGTCCAACATCAGTCTTGTATTTGACTTCATGGAAACAGATCTTGAGGTGATTTAGTATTAAAGCGACCCTATACATTAGCCTTTTTTTTGTCTAATTTGTGGGTTCAGTAACAATATCATTGGAAAAAAAGTAACAGTTTGTTTTAACTTTGAATTATGTATCTACCATTATTTCAGGTTATAATAAAAGATACAAGTATTGTACTAAGCCCAGCAAATGTCAAAAGCTATATGATAATGACATTGCAAGGTTTGGAATACCTTCACATGAACTGGATCCTTCATAGGGTAAGTATACAAAGGAATAGTTTGCTTGAATGAACAAAGACCTGTGTGAACAAGCTATTGCTTGAAAGTATCAGGCAATTCACCATTGACTGACAAACCTGAGTATACCTTATGGTGGAAAAAATGTCATTTAATTCATCATGTTTTTACTTCAACTTTGCAGCTTTTTCTGCAGTATTTTTATCTACATATTTCCACCTATAGCCATAGCCAAAAGATTTGATAAGCTTAGAATAACCAGGAACTTGATGTGAATTTTTTTCTAAGATATTAACCCTTTCCTCCTTAACATCAGTATGCATATTCTCCATACTACTCCCCAGACATTTCCTAGGGTTTTGACAAGGAGAATTTGTTCAACAATCAAGATCTTCCTTAGTTGGTGATCATCTCCTTTCTTCTCATGACCTTAATGTTTGATTCAGGGATGATGTTGTAAGGAGAAATTAGATATTAGTCACTCTTAGGGGTTAAAGGGTTTAGAAAGGAACATTATAGATGAAATAAGTGTTAAAAGGGAAAGACTCACAGACCTCAAACATGGTTATAACTGCTGTTCATGTTTGCATTGTCTACCCTCAGGATATGAAACCAAATAATTTGTTGATTGATGATAAAGGAGTTTTGAAGATTGGTGATTTTGGACTTGCCAGATCTTTTGGAAGTCCCACAAAGGTGTATACTCATCAAGTAGTGACAAGGTCAGGACTGTGGAATCAATTTTTTTTTTCACAGAGTTTTTGATTGAGATCTGAAATACCCAGCAATACAACTATTTCTTGAATCTTGTTTGTTGACGTAGCACTCCATAAAGGGATTGCAAAGGCTTTGGTGACTCATTCTTCTTTTCATATTTTTTGCAGGTGGTATCGTCCCCCTGAGCTTCTGTTTGGAGCAAGAATCTATGGTACAGGTGTGGATATATGGGCTGTTGGTTGCATTTTGGCTGAGCTTCTTCTGCGGGTGAGTGAATCTTTCTGTAGGTCAACAAATATTAATTTATTAATTTTAAAGGCAAGTTATAGCTTTGATAAGTAAATTTGTGAATATCATTAATTTGATATCATACAATGTGTCACTTTGAACAGTTCTTCCCATTTATTTATTTTCTTTTGCAGCTTATTAAATTAGTTATAACAAGAAGTTTGTTTCTTCAATTTGTGCAATGATTTGCTTAATTTTTGCTTGTGAAAATTCTAAAATATTTTTCTCTTCCTGTTTATCATTTAGGTTCCCTTTTTACCAGGTAGTTCTGATTTAGATCAACTCAGCAGAATATTTGAAACTCTTGGTACTCCATCAGAAGATTCCTGGCCGGTAAGTAACATTCAGATTCATTTAATTACAATACAATATTTGTTATTGATCTTCTCCTATAGGGGATATTCAGGGATAATACAATACAATAAAAAGCAAAAACGGTTAATAGAAAATTGGCTAGATGTTAACCCAGTGGGCTCTAATATTTTTTCTTTTTTTTTTCTATGTTAAAAAAATCATATATTTCTTATCTACCCAAGGGTGTCACATCTTTACCAGACTATGTGGAATTTAAGAAATTCCCAGGGATTCCTTTAAAGGACATATTTTCTGCTGCTGGTGATGACCTTTTGGATATGCTTGACAGATTGCTGGATTGCAATCCTGCTGGCAGAGTAAATGCAACTCAGGTAAATTTTCCAAAAATGCTTTAAAATCCACTCATCTTGCACTAACTGAGAACATCGTTTTGGCTGGTAATGGCTCATATGCTTTGGTGAATGATCAAAACTGCAAACCAATTGGTCAAGATTTAAGTCCTGCCAGCTGTTGTGTTAGTAATGATACACCATTCTAATGCTCCACTCACCATGAAGTAAAGGTGGCAATGGCAGTGAGGGGTTGATGAACTGGGATCTCAACAAGGATGTCACTGGCAAGGCCTGGGTGCAAGAGAACCCCCCTCCCCTCCCCTCCCTCTTGTATGAGAAAGTGATAAAATTATAATTTTAGAAAAACTTGCATGCTCCTGAAGTCCTGTAAAAATGCTGGTGATAATTAACCATCCTGTTAAGAATTTCTGACCACATTCCACTTCACATTAGAAGAAGTGAGACAATGAACTCAGCTAGATGGTCACGTAGCTTGTGGATATACTTTTGCATCAAACTTCTTTAAAAGAATTATTGATTCCCTCCAGGCTCTGAAGATGCCATACTGTTCCAACAAACCCGTCCCTACGCCTGGGCACCTACTGCCACGCCCTAAGATATCAGCACCCGCAGGTAGTAAAAAGGAGGAGGAAAACTCGTTGAAAAGAAAAATGGTTGATTCAATGGCTGATTCAGGTGATAATCATGAAGATGTTAGTTACCTAGTGTATGTTATGTGATATTCTCCAAAGTATTCTTGGATTATTTCCTTAAAGACCAGACACATGAAGGCTGGTTTCTTCCTGATTGCCGAGATTAGCGTATCATTTGATTTTTAAGCTCCTTTCACTTACTTCATTTAGAAATTCCTATAAAACGTCTGGTTGATCCAGGACTTTGACCAATTTTAAACGACCTTTTGCATGCAAAATTGTTCCGTGTAAAAAAGGAAGCATCGGGCCGTCACCATCTCTGAAAAGTAGCACATAAGCGCTGAATTAAGCAGGAGTCCTTTATTAGCTGAATGTGTAATTTTTGCTCTTTCATTTTCTAGGAACTATCAGAGCAAAAAAGCTGGTATTCTAGTGTGATTTCTGTCAAAGGCAAAGAATTATCCATTTATTGTTTCCCAAGTTGTACGAACCACGTTCCAGCGTGGCAAACTCTCGTTTAGGGATTTTTATGTTGTGTGATATTTGACACGAAACGACCGACGAGGAGGACATCAACCACGCTATGGCCATTGGCTAAGCGTTCTTTCAGTTCAGGATGGCCCTCAAAAGAGCAAGTTGAACGATGATCATGGAGAGCGTACAATAATGTCCTCGCAACCGAAGTTTCGGAGGTAAACTTTGACAGTTGCGCATGCTAAGCGAAACTGTCGTTGAAAGTACCCTATTCACAAACACCAGTTCACAAGAACATCTAACTCAAGGAAAGCGCCACTGTCCCTTTTTCATGATAGTGCCAGTCTCCCGCTCGTGCGTATCAAAAAAGGGGAACCACAGGGGAGGAGTCGGCCCAAAATTTCGCTTTGAGAGTGACATTACGTTCACCCGAAAAATGGTCAACTGTTTAAAAAAAAAATGGCGCATATTATCGGTAGAGTTAAGTAGAGACGTGAAGCTCTCGTATTGATTTTGGAATTGAGAAGTGTTCGCTGTATGTTAATGCAAGCTATGATACTCATAAATGTACATACCGTAGATGAAAAAACGAATCGACGTCAACATTTAATTTAAGAAAGATATAGAAACGTGTGTGTAGACATGCAGCAAAGAAAAAAAACCCTAGTTACTGAAGGAAGTAATTCTCTCAGTTTTATATATTGTTAGGATCATCAATTTCTGAAGATCGAAAATGGTGGTCTCTGCAAATCAAGTCTTCCATAAAACGCAATGGATTAAATGAACGAGTTGCCAGTAATCGGATCCTTGTGTTTGCGCACAGAATTCTGGGTTCGCCACGAGGCAAACACTGCAACTCGCTAGAAGGAAATGTTTGGCGAAAGGTTATTCCGACGACCAAAAGAACGATTTTGGAGAGAGATGGTTGCTTTTTCGCCGCTGTTTTATCATTAACTTGTCTTCATGCGTGCGCAATGTGTGTTGTGAATTTGACATCACGTAATGGTATCGAATTTAGAAAAACTAACTATAAATTGCCAAGAAATAACTCGACAAAGCCTTATTAGTCTTATGGACGTGTTTTAAGTCTACCTCTATCTATTTTTGTGGCTTGGTTATACAACAGAGCGCTGGAAGTCTGCTTAAAGCTGAACCCTTTCTTTTGTGACGATGGGTAGGTACAAATGGGTCGCCTAAGGAGCGATGAACAACTGATTACATGTCCACAGTTTCTGCCGAGGTTCCCGTGATCTTGCTTTTCCTGGCAAGATCCTCCAAGAAGTTCGAGAAGAGAAGTTGCAGCTCAAAGACTTGGATTTTTCTCAAACAAAGTATCACTTGACCAAGGGATTTCCTCATTTTTTTCATAAGTTATTTCATCCTTTCAGAGAACAACAACTCGGTAAAGACAATTTCCATCTCCGCTGACAACGACCTCTCTCCTTTAGGGAGGTGTATTTTCAAACGTCGTAATTTGTCTATTTAATACGTTAACAAGTATAAAAACAGGCTATTCACGTAGAAATACAACTGAAAAGACTGAAATGAGTCATTTCCTAGCAATTTATTGCTAATTTGAAATATTTCGAGACCATTACGCGATGACGATTCTACAGTTAATCATAACCATTACAATTTCCTCACATGTGATTGGTGCATCAGCTGCTCTATATTTCACTAATCACTTTGTAAAGTTGTAATCGGACAGTGTAATCGGACTGTTGGCTGTAATCGGACACCTGCAGGCAGAAAGTTGAAGCAGCCAATCATACTAAGTCCACTCAGCTGAATCCACCAATCACAGAAAAGCTAAAGAAAAAAAAAACTGGGAAATTTCCTAATTTTTTTGCTTTAGACATTGTCCCTACTGGAGATGTCCCTACTCGTGATTGTCAAATCGGACTCCCGCTTCGCGGTCCTCCGATTTTGTTAATCACTCGTATGATTACAGAACGAATTGGACTCCACTCGGTCCTATTACCATTATAAATCCTATGCAAGGAGAGAAGTCTGTCGGTCTATTTTAAAGCATATTTCGTGGTAAAACTTACACTTCCCTTGTATCGACATTATCTTCGCCTATTTATGATGAAACTGCGGCGAAAAAGCGATAATCACTCTCCAAAATCGTTTTTTCGGACGTCGAAACAACCTTTCGCCATATCCAAGGCGAGTTGCAATGTTTGCCCCGTGGTGATCCCAGAAACCTGTGCGCAAACGCAAGGATCCGATTACTGGCAACTCATTCATTGTTAATCAAAGGAAGTAACGACAACCCTTGCAGATAAACCCCTTTCATAAACACCTGTCATATTGTCCAATCCCAAACCTATTACGCGTTGGAATATTTTGCGTTGGAAAGTTTTCACTCAATGATCCCGATCCCGTCTCCAGAAAAGGCCGTGTTTCTACATGAATAGGGGTGAGATGTAACCAGGCCTTTTTCTTCTCTTTCATGGTGGGCAATTGGGAGGAAGAGAGGAAATCCGTGCAACGTTCTGTTGAGCTCTGGGAAGCAATTGCAATTGATATAGTATGGAGGATGAGTGAGAGCAGGACAGCTTTTCCCACACTGACGCGTAACTTGCGTAACAAGAACCAAATTAATCTCGAACCCAGATCCTAACGTCTAATAGTAAATGAAATTTCTTGGCAGTGTGAGGTCGGGGTACGAGATTAGGATCGGACATGAAGGTTAGGTTACTGAGTAGGAGAATCATAAAATCCAACAATTGAAAAATAATTCGAGAAAACAAGAAAATAAAATGTCAATTTTCTTTTACTGACCACAGTAACTCTCGTTCTTCGACATGTACCATGTTCCAATTGCTCGAGCAACTGATGACGCACACAATTACGTACGTCGCGCTATTTATGAAGTGAATTTAATTTTAACAGAGAACTGTATTTCAGGTGAGTGACTGGTAAGAGCAGCTTTCAAAAGTGACAGCGAATAGAGAAAAGGTGACAAGAAAAGGATTTGTTACTCAGGCCAAGATTCCATTGATTTCTTAAAACGCTGAAACCCTCTGCACAGTTGTTGTCTCTTTGCAGTTTTCATTAATGTTTAGTGTACTTTCTGACATGGTTTCTGTTGTAAAATCGCCGTCTTGGCACTCAACTCGAACTTCTTCGACCGGAGATCTACTTACGCGCAACAAAAGGAAGATGTCTCTTGCTAAAGAGAAAGACGATCTGAGAAATTTAAACGACCGTTTTGCGGCTTACATAGAAAAAGTCAGGAATCTGGAAGAGGAAAATAAAAAGCTCAAAAATGAGGCATGGTGAGTAATTGGACTAAGGTAACAGAGGGAGAGGTTAGCTTACAAAGTTCTTTAAAACTCGAGCTCTTACCCTCCCTCTATGAAATTTTAGCCCCCTTACTCGAATTATTTTATCGTACTCAGCAGTCGTTTTGGTCTCCTTACAGCGAAGTAGAAGAGGTGCGAGAAAGTGTGAAAATAGCAAGAGTCGAACGAAAACATAGGGCTAAACATAATAATAATAATAATAATAATAATAATAATAACAATAGTAATAATAACAATAGTAATAATAACAATGATATTAATAATTAAAATAATAATAATAATAATAATAATAATAATGGGATTTAGCAGTGGACATGTCACGGAGATTCTCTTCTTGTCCACTGTTTCCAGGTCGAATTGGAATTGGGAATGTTTGTTTTTGGGGTAATCATAGGGAAGACGGAGTTTCCTTGATTTGCTTTTTCCCAGGGTAACAATGGTGCCAACCATTTCAACGATCCTTCCATAGAGGAGGTCATGATATTCGAGTGAACTTTACTTCTTCGAGAATACCATGAGCTAAAACAGAAGTCGTAAACATGTTTTGTTTTGTTTTCTTTTTTCTTTTTTTCATGGTAACATTTCTTGTCAATATTTCCAATAACATTTGGGCGCGACTTTATCCCCGCCTGGGTAGCCTGTGCATCATTTCCATCATCCTGAAGACGCTTTCGCGGAGGAAGAATTCAAAGTGAATAAAGGATCGGTTGCCATATTTTTCTTAAGCGATATTTGTGTTTTTGAAAGTGCGAAATGTGAAATAGTTGTTCGAAAGGCTGATTCTTCTTGAGTTACCATTCGACCAGCGGTGTTCGAGTCGAAACTGAAAGGGATAATATATCAAATTTAAGTTATCACCTGATACGGAAGATATTTATGTGTGCGTTTGTGAAAGTATTTAATTCTACTTCACGTTCTCCAATGCATTTTACGAGCGGGATCAGACTATACGGGAGTTATACGTTTCATACCGTGACCGTTACTGTAAAAGTCACGCCTCAATTTTAACCAATCATTTATTTGCTTTGAAAGAATTTTTCAAAGAACGCACTCTCTTATTGGTCAAATCTAGTCACATGTCAGTAGAGAACCGCCAAAACTTGAGCAGATTTCTGCGCGGTTCTAGAAGTCTTAACTTCTGAGCGAATTTTGTTTTACTTTGCTTTGAGTTTAGCTTACTTTCCAAAATGGCTACAACTGTAATATCACCTCGCACTCCGGCGTCTTCAGCGAGGGTCGAGGTGGCCTCCCCGACGAAGATGACCCGGATTCAAGAAAAGGAAGAACTTCAACACTTGAACGATCGTCTCGCCGTTTACATTGACAGAGTCAAATTCTTGGAAGAAACGAACAGCAAGTTGACAGCAGAAATTACTGTGATAACGAGCAAAAAACAGACTGAAATTGAAACCGTGAGGAACTCGCTTGAAGCAGAGCTGAGGGATGTGAGGAGGTTGTTGGACGAGGTCGCAAAGGACAAGGCACGCGAGCAGATCGAGAACAAGAAGAACTCCGCACTGGTTGAGGAATTCAAGAAGAAGTAAGTTAACCTTTTTTTCATAAACCAATGGGCAGGCTGTCTGTTTTCAAAAGCAATTGTTTCCTTCTAAAATAACTGAATTTTCGCTTGAAGAGTTCTTTTCGGTTGGTTGATAAGTGGTTTTCCAAAGTTGCGTTAGGAGTATAAATTGATGACGGTCGCGCTCTCGGACGTTATTGCCTGCACGTGGAAGCTAATGTCATGAGCATGATCGTAGTCTTAATTTATTCGGCTGGCTCGGTCATCTTCTTCACTCGTTCTGTTCAAACAACCGAGACTGAGGTGAAATGGAAACTTGTTGATTCCGTTACCCGCATGTCGATTTCATCAATTACATTATACGAACTCAAACGAACGTTTGCATCAATATTCGTGATTATTCGGGAGAGACATCTACGTTACTCCCTAGACAGCATTGTAATGGGTGTTTCCTAGGCTAGCGTCGGGTAAAAAAATTATTGTTATCATTGTAAACCACGTAGATCAGTTACCGAGCGGTCATTTTGAGGCGAGAGCATTTTGTAAAGTTATCCTACTAGAGACACTAGCTACGCTGACTGGTCACGCGTAAGTTCCTTTAAATATTTTGATGTAAAACATGGAGCAAACTTTTTTTAAATTGAACTTTGTGAAACCTCCTTTGTTCAGCATGCTAATTTTCTCATTGTCAGACCCTTTGTTGATTTGAACTTATTTCTAGGCTTTGGTCCCATCCAGTTCCTACAAAAAGTGAATAAACTTACGTTGAATGGCTCACATTTTACCGTTTTATATTCCTTGAATATTTAGAGTATTTGCTAAACGGAAGGTGCAGCATATTATGGTAAAGATTATGCAAATTCCTCGAAAATATTCAAAATTGTCAATAAATTTCAATGAGATGGGTTTTTTTGAAAGCATGTGAAGGGTTTGTGTTTATCAATAGCATGCTGATGTTTATAGCTGTCTTTTGTGTTCAATGTCACACTCTCCACTGACTATTTGTTTATGACATCAAAGGTTTGAGAAAGCAGCTGCAGCACACAAGAACAGTGAAGATGCCTTGAAAGCATCTCAGAGAAAGTTGTGTGATCGAGATGCACAGCTAGCAAATGTAAATCAAGAGGCAAAGAAGTTAGAAGCAGTTATCCAGGACCTAAGGAAAGAGTGCCAAGAACTGAAGGATGCTTTGGAATCAGCTAAATATGCCCTTGAGCAGGAGACCCTATCAAGAGTGGACCTCGAGAACAAACTCCAGTCCAAAGAAGAAGAACTCAATTTCAAGAAAGAGATGTACAGTAAGGTAAAAGTTTGACTTTTATTTGACTTTTGAGCCAAAATTATCATTGCTTTTAAAATCCAAATCAACATTTCTGCACAGGGAATAAGCAGTGACTTTTAGAAGCAAAAACTTCTTAGATTTTTGTTTGAAGGAAAACTCTCCAGTTTTATAGTTGTGAAATAACAAAATTCCAACAGAGGCAATGGTGGAAAATATAACAAAATCAGGATCACATTTGTGAAATTTGTACTTTCAATTGCACGTTTATAAATTTATCTCTGATATCAGATGATAAGGAATTAAAGTACAGGTAAACTTGACTTTGTTCCACAGTGAATTTTTTATCATGAATTTAAACTTTGTCGATCAATATTTTTAATGTTTGTTAGAACCAAAACTTATAGTGGTAGAATGAAAAAAATGGAGGGCAGCATTATATTGAAAAGATGTCCAAAAAGTCTATTTTTTTTCTCTAAAAGGAATATAGAATTAACCGGGAATCATTTCTTTGTTTCTTCAGGAAATGATTGAGATCCGTTCTCAGTTACAAAGTGTAGAGTCACAGCGCAGCAAAATAGAAGCTGAAGCGAAGAACAGATATGAAGGAATCTTGTCAGAAAAGCTACATGAACTGAGAGAGATGTTTGATAGCGAGGCCAGGCAATATAAAGATGAAACTGATGGTCTTTATGGTGCTAAGGTAGAGATCTCTATTGATGAACATTAAGCCCCATCTTTTCAAATAGAAGGCATGAAGCGAGGTTGAATTCAACCTCAGTTATGTTGGTAAATTTAAAATGTCCAATACAAATTGTTCAATGCACCTTAACCCTTTAACTCCCATGAGTGACCAAAACAGAATTTCTCCTTACAATATCAATACAACATCAACCAGATAAGTGATGCAAATAAAGAAAAATTTCAATTTGGGGATAATATGTTGATCCAATACTAAATTCTCTGTGCTAACATTGTAAGAATTGTACAGTAGACAGTAAGGAGAATTACAAATTTGATCTGAAAGTTAAAGAGTTGATGTGGAAATACATGTGCCTGCTTACAACGACAACATTGTTTCTTTACATAGTGATAATGTAAATGGTAAGTGTGCTTCAGACCCCTCTAACTCCAATGAGTGTGTAACAGAAAAGAAAATATCAATTGGGGGATTATTGAATTGATCCAATACAAATTGTCCAAAGGAACACATTAAGAATTGTGTAGCAGACAGTAAGGAGAATTACTAATAAGATCTTGAGATTAAAAGTTGTGAACAGGAAACTTCCCAGTATTTCATGATAGTTAAGTATGTAGTCAGAGCTGACATTAAGAGCCCACATGCCACCAAAGTTATCAGCTAGTCTGCCATCATTAGCTGGCTATTTCCACCCAGTTTACTGTACATCCTTATATACAAATAGAATATTAAAAAAAACCAGTACAATTGTTGTTCAAAATACCATCACAGAGAATTTGCATAGCAGACATCTCCTATTTTTAAGTGGAATTGGATGCATTATTTATCAGTAATAGGTTTAGATGTTTCTATATTTGAAGTTTGGGTTAGTGCCTTGGATTTTTTAACTGAATAGTTCCCATCCTTATTTGTAATCTGATGATACAACATGGTGTCCATGATAACCCAACCACCTGCTTTTTCTGATCTGCCATCTACTTCAAGCTTATTAACCCTTAAACTCCCATGAGTGACCAAGACAGAATTTCTCCTTACAATGTCAATACAACATCAACTAGATTAGTGATGAGAATAAAGAAAAATATCAATTTGGGAATAATTAGTTGATCCAATACAAAATTCTCTGAACTAACATTATAAGAATTGTATGATTGACAGTAAGGAGAATTACAAAATTGATCTGGGAGTTAAAGAGTTAACACCCTGGTAATAAATATTTTTTTTTTCTTTTCAAGTATGATGAACTCCAGAGGATGAACACAAAGGATTTGGAGGAGTTGACACTGATCAGAGAAGAAAAAAGAACTTTGTCAATCACTGTTGAAAATATCAAATCAGAACTAAACCAGTTGCAGTCCAAGGTATATATATGTAGAACATTAATGATGGCTATTTTATTTACATGGGCTGATGTTGAAACTTTTTTGTGTTTTTGAAAGGTGAATCAGACTCTATTAGAGAGAGCAGAAGTCTTAAACTTGAAGTAATAGTTGCTAACCTTTTTCAAACCCACAGAATTCAAGCTTGTTACAAAGAATTGAAGACTTAGAAAGTTTGCGTGCTAGTGACCAAAAGATAGCTGATGAGGCAATAGCAAACAGAGATGCACAAATCAAAGAACTACGCAAGAGAATTGATGCTCAACTCAGGGAATATGAGGATCTTATGGGAGTGAAGACTGCTCTTGATCTGGAGATTTTGACTTACAGAAAGATGTTAGAAGGAGAGGAATCAAGGTGCATTGAAACTGTGTTCTGTTAGTTTTAAAATAGTAATAAATGGATCAGGGTTACAGTATTTTCCTTAGGCACTGGCTGTCAACAAAATTTGCCACTTGGATTTTGGCTGGTGATTACTTAGTAAAGGGATGTGAATATTTTTTAGGTCATACATACACAACTGTTCGTATCAAAAAAAATCTCAGTGAAAAGGATTAAGTAAACTCCTTGCCATCTTGAGTACCATTGCCACTTAAACAAATAAGACATATTGAGTAAAATCCAGTTATGATCAGTTGTTTGCATTGTTCTCATTCAATGTCCTGCATTGGCCATATTGTAAAATATGAAGCTTGGTAGCCTAATTGTGAAGGGTAATGGAAGAGACTGGGACCAATATTTTGTGACAAGATTTCTCTTTGAGCAGGCTCATTTCTCGTTTATTGTTTCCTTAGCCACAACCCTGGGGTTGTTGCCAAGTGTTATTAGTCCATAAGAGAGAGCAGTAAGAAAATAAATGTTAAGTTTCTAACAGGCACAGTTATCCTTCAGGTTGAACATAACTCCCCCAGCTTCCCCAGTATTTGGAGCTTCTGCAAAAAGTGGCAGACGTTCTGCTAAGCGAATCCGCACAGAGGAAGAGACTGTAGAAACTAAGTATTCAAACAAAGGTTACATTCAGATAAAAGAGGCAAGTGCAGATGGTACCTTTGTCAAGCTGTTCAACAGTGGAGCCAATGTGAGTCTTTCAATTTATTCATGATAAGCTGATGAGTTTTCATGATTGTTTATTTTGTTTTAAGAATTGGAAAATGTTAATTTTAGTTAAACTTCGCAGAGTGGGAGTTACTCCAGAATGTAAAATTTTTAGTGGAAGAAAGTTTTTAGCCTTTGGTTGTTAAATCCCTACCTTTTTTTTCTCCCATTCTTGCATTCAATTTTGGGTTCCTTATCTGTGTCAAGGGTTATGAAAGTGCAGATTACCGTCTTTTTGGATTAATTTTTTTTGGAAGATTTTGATTATAGTTAATTACTTGCTAAATCTTTTCTCTTCCTAGGATATGCCTCTTGGTGGCTGGAGTTTGGAAAAATCAGTAGATGGGGAACCACCTGTAATCTACAAGTTCACACCGAAATATGTCTTGAAAAGTGGATTTTATGTAACAGTAAGTGATTTTACATTTTGTTTACTATCTAAGATCAATGGAAGATAGGGGATACCAGGGAGAAAAAGAATACCCATGCTTTATTTCTAACAGAAAATTTATTTTAATTTAGTTTATGTTTGTGTTCAAAAGGGAAAGAAAACAATCTAAAATGCTTCTTTTTTCTTTTGGAATTCACTTGAAATATGTCTTGTCTATGGCAGTAGTCGGGGTGGAAGTGAAAGCTGAAAAATTTACTTATACCATAGTCTGTAGGTTAATGAATTTAGTGTGTTAGTCTTCTTTCTGTGGACGGAAAACCCAAGGACTAGGGGGAGGTAAATGTCGGTAACTTTTACCTGGGCTACATTGCCAGAAGGCACTCTCTCTGCACTGTGCCATTCATGCTTCCATCGAAACTTTCTGATATCATTTTAATCAAGAAATAACTTGTTCATTTTAGATTTGGGCATCCCAAGGTGGCGGCCAGCATAAACCACCTTCAGAACTGGTATTTAGACAGAAAGCCAGCTGGGGTGTTGGTAAAGAAACAAAAACAGTGTTGAAAGATGCAGATGGCCAGGTTTGTGTCTGTGTTTGTCAATTTGCTGATGAGGATGTAGAAGAGGAAATTTTTTAACTTCAGTTACTTTCCAGTCAAGTTGGAATTCCCTTTAGATATTTGGACTGCGCTCATTTTCATTACAGAGCCAACTGATTAGATAAAAGAACTTTATAACAACAGTTTATTGATATCATTGACAACCATTGTTAAGCAGTTTATATTTTGTGCAGTTCATATACAGATATTGAAAGACCTAGGGCACCTTGCATTAGACAGAATTGGTCAGCTAGACCAGTAAAATCATTTTTGTTTTCAAGAAAGGAATCCATCAGGTTTATGATCAATAAAATAATTTCTCAGGAGATGTGGCCACCTAAATCCATCAACCTTGTTCTTTTTATTTTTGTAAATTTGTAAATATATCATAGTTTTCAATTGTATACAGTTCCCTGCTACAAATTTAAATGAAAATTAAAGGTATGTAAATTTTTAAACTCAGAGGCTTTCCTCTTGGAGCAAGGTATTATTACTCTTACCATTTCTGATGTTGTCAGGTTCTGTAAGGGTTAATAATGTTGGTAGTTGGCATGGCACAGTCAGGGGTGAATGGTGTAGGGTGTAATCCGTAAAAGTCAAAAAGAATAATACTAAAATACTTCAAGAAACAATGATTAAAAGTATTATTGGGACATAGGCTGTAATCCCTGACAAGGGATTCCAAAGCAGATCCCCTTTAACTTAGATGGGCTTGCCAGGTTGTCGCACTATATGATCCTAAACACGTTTTAAGTCCAAAAATACAGCGAATTTTGGAGTCAATAACAATTTGAGGCATATCATATATGAGTCACGAGAAATGCTTGAAAATGTGGAAGGCAAGCTTAGCTTGGATTAATTGATTGGTCTTGTCTCGCCACAACCCAGTATTCTATTTGTTGGGTGGACTTTGACCCCTGAATCTTCGTGCTGCAAAAGCCTGTTTGAGAAAATTTGATACACAATCTACATTTCATTATTATTTTTCTTTTTTTTTGAGGAGAGGAAATGGTGCTATTTTGTTGAAGCCCAGTTTTCTTATTGATAACTCCATATATTTCTTGTAGGAAGCAGCTTCTGCAATTGTTGAAGAAGTCAGCATTAGGACTGATGAAATTGACAGTCGGCGACAAAGTATGATGTCTGGACAACGTGAGGTAAGACATGGCTGCTCTTGTTGCACCCAATTGATAGTTGCTTTAGCTTCATGTTAGACTTCAAGCAGTTCCCCCTTTTCAGTGGAGTCTGTTGGTCAAGCATTAGAGGATCACTGTGAGCCTCATCTCCAGAGTTCTATGCAGAGCTAGTCCAGACCAACAATCAGGGTCTTAAAATAGCGAAGGAGAATGTGGTGCCCTATTATCTGGCCTTTTTTCTGAAAAATTCCTAAACTGGGGGCACATGTTAAATTTCCTTTTATAAAATAAGAAACTGCTCAAAAGAGCCTGGCCAAAATCCCCCACAGAGTGTTTTAAAAAACATTAGAGTATAGTACAATGGATAATGCTTTATATAGATGCATTATTATCATTATTAAAGTGACTAATAGTTTTTTTTTCTTCTTCTTTAGGGTGAAACTAGCAAAGGTTGTGTAATTCAGTAGTGCTACAACTTTTCAATTGTAACAACTGATTTTGAGCTTTTTAGTCAGTCCTTCAGTTTGAAGAACAAAATAAAATTATGAGCTATATCTTTTTGTGTAGAAAAAGAACTTGCCAAAGTACTTTTTTATTTGTAAAACCTGTTTGTAGTACAATTTTTTAACCCAAATTTTCAATACTCCAATTGATTGTCTACATTCTATCATCACATTCTGCTTAAGGTAAACTACGTTTCCATTGTATTTATTTTGAATGAAATCTTCAGTGTACAAGGGCTTCTAAAGCTTTTATCATAACAGCAGCCTAAACATTTTGTTCATTAAACTTAATTTTTAGAACAAGAATAATATATTTTGTGTGGGGCTTTAAAAGATGGTGGTGTTGATGCATTCCAGTGATACATTGTGTGCATTTTTCTGAAAGGGAAAGTTTTAAAGGACCTGCTCAAAGATTTATCTTATGAGACAAGGTGAACAGGTCAAGTACTTGAATGCAATTTGTGCGTGGAATTTCCTTAACTTTTCTAAAGGGCAGACTGGAAAATATTTTTCTCTAACATTTTCACTTTTCTTCTTTTCTAAAATATCTTGTATGTTTTGTACTTTTCTGGTTTGCCAGTAAAACTTGGAGTCTTTTCTTTTTAAGATGTATTCATTGAGGTGAGATTTTGTATGCAGTAGGTTGACCATGCAGTTTTTGTCTGCAGTATGAATAAACTGACCACCTGTCAATCAAGTTCTTGTGTTGATCATTTTCCAAAAGGAAAATCCTTGCAATTCCCAAACTGGTTAAGCATATTTGGTGCGCCAGTGCTATTAAACCGTTATAAAAGGTTAATTGCAACAAACAGAGACGAATTACTTTGCTATATCCCCATCTCGCTTCCACAAGCACCTTCCGCCCTCCCCTCCCTGAAAAAAATAAAGTAGAATTCTGTCTGACTCTAATCAGTTCCCGAAGAAAACAAACAAATAATCGTGGCTATAGCGGGTTTCAAAAAGTCAGCTGAGAACTTTTCACCACGGAGCCGACGAAAATTTACGAACCCTAACTGAATTAATGACTCGAAAGTTACGCAAACAAAATCTTCAGTCTCGCCAGTTACAGAGCACCACCTGGGTACTAGTTCAGTAATATCATATCCAGTCTTCCGCCGAAACAAGGAACAAAGAGAATGCTGGGGAATCTGTACTAAATTCAAAATGGAGGTTCTGTCTTGGTCCGGCGATTGGAATCTCCCATCGGTGGACGTCTGCTGTTTGGAGGTTTTGGTTGGTAAACTGCCTTCCTTTACGCCCAGATCTATAATACCATTTCTTAGCTTCTCCATTTTTGTTATAGGCCTACGCTAAATTTGCTGAATGCCCGTTAAACGTCAATCGATGTAACAACCCTTGGAAATCTTCCATAGGTGAGGACTTTAACTCTAGAGATAGTCGGAACCAGTAACTATCGATTCCAAATAAGATTATTAGGTGCTGAAATAGACTGAATGTCTTACTTTTAGATTTGCTCGTCCATGATCAGAGAAGTGATGAAATATACGCATGTTTCACAGAAAATTCATTTGTTTCTTCTAGGAGAATTTCCGGTTTTAAAATCTGGTGAAGATGTACTCGTCACGTCTAGCAAGATCATGGATTACTTGAGAGGAAAAGTAGGTATAAGGCTATAGTATGTTTATGTGTAGTCACAGAGTACCAAATTTCTTTGTGTTGCAATTTGCCGCTCACAAAAACTTGTCAGTAAAAATGGTTTTTAAAAATTTATGTCCTACACAGAACTTCAATGCCGATTATCAACTGACGGCAAAGCAGGGAGCAGACACTCTTGCATTTGTTTCACTGGTCCATAGCAAATTGTACCCAGCAATTGTAAGTTGAATATGCACTTTCTGTAAGAGTAATGGGTTAAAGTCGTACAAAATGTGATTCCTATTTCTAAACTATGCCAGTCATGATTGTTGCATCAATAAACCATGTTGATGCTTAAATTAAATTTCAAACTAAATTGAGGTGAATTAATTACAAAAATTTTGTTTGGTCTTGCAGTTATTTACATTATGGGTGGATAACACAAATTACACTAAATTAACTCGTCCATGGTATGCACAAAGATTACCTTTTCCACTGAACTATTTTATCCCTGGACACATCTCAAGACAAACAAGGAGGCACCTGTCAAATGAAATGCACTCAGAGGTGACAGATGATGCACTGGAAAATAAGGTAGGCCTTAAAATAGTAGTATGATAAATTTGTCATAGTCTGCAGGAATTCAATCTCTGTTAAGGATGTTGTTGCTTTTATTTCTTTATATCTTTTAACAGATAAAATGTCTATGAAAAGTGAAAGAGGATGTAGTAAGTCCATAACAGGATAGCAAAGAAGGGCGGGGGGGGGGGTTAATCCGTACCTCTTTTATAAAAAAAACATACAGGGTTATCATTATTATCTTTCATTTAACTGTTTGTACTTTTTCTTAGCTTGCTCTGTTCTCCAAATCTAAAGTGGCCTTACTAATGCTTTTTTGAATATATACTGTACCAAAACATTTACACAATTACCAGCTTTCCACACAGCTTCAAAGTGGAGAAGCAGCAGATTGCTGCTATTGGAGTGGATTGGTGTGGGTTTCAGAGCTGGTTGGGTCATTATGTTATGTTCCTAGCAAGACACTTTACTGTCACAATGCCTCTCTCCAGCTAGGAATACAAACAGGCACTGCTTAACTGTCAGGGTAACCTGATGGAGTTCTTGGGAATAAGCTATGTTTGATTAACTTCCTATCTGGGGGGAGGTACAATACTCATACGTTCCATGTTACAGAGACTGGGCTTGAGTACACACTCCACCTCATATCTAAATGGCTTTAAATGCTTCTTCAACACAAGCTTCATATGATGTTTTCTATGTTTCTCAGAGCAGTTTTAATGTGAGAATTATTTTGGCTTTGGTTTTGTCTCTCAGCTTTTCAAAGATGCTTTGGAATGTCTAAAACTGTTATCCACAATGCTGGATGGAAAGGAGTTTTTTTTTGGTGACAGGTAACTCAAAATATATTTGTTGTTCTCCTGGCTACTTGCTGTATATTTCCTTGTAAATGAATGAAGAGAATTTGGCTTTACATCAGGATAGGAGAGTCACCCTTTAGCTGATAAGTATGTAAATTCTCATTGCCTGTTTGTAGGATAGTGTTTTGAAATTTGCATGTTGATCACTTCTAGTGATTAAAGGGTTAACATAAAAAATCTTTTGTTCCTTACAGTCCAACCACCCTTGATGCTGTGGTATTTGCTCATCTTGCAGTGATCTGGAAAGCCCCATTACCAAATAAAAAACTGTATAACTATCTACAAGGATATGACAATTTGTGTACGTTCTGTGGACGAATATTACAGCGCTACTTCCCGGGAGAAGTAAATGGTAAGAGGGAAGCATTTTTCGGTTACGGGTGGCAAAAATTAACAACTAATGGAAATCACAGACTTGTAAACAAAATTGGTCGTTTTTTTTTTTCATTTTGGAGAAACACGACGGTATCTTTTATGGGAAGTTTGAAGTAGAGAGTTTCCTGAACTGAAACCAGCCTCAGGAAAATGATTACTCGAAGCGGCACTTAGCGGTATTAAGATAAAACGACTTTTAGCGAACGAGTTGAAAGGTCGGTTTTATCAAGCGATTGTGCATAGGCCCGAGAACTAGAGGCGAGCAAACAAAAGACAACTACGTCATTCTTAATTGTAATAAAAAGGGTACTGTTTGTCACTTTCTTCCAACTTTTAGTCTTTAAGACCTTGAGATAAGATATTTCCTCGAATAAGCGCCCAGGCGCTTATTTAAAATTTCGGCTCAAAGGAGAGGCTCTTATTGGAAGGAGGGCATTTATTATTCTCCTGTACGGATTTCGCTGTAGTCGAAGCTTTAAAAGTTATAAATAAAGCGGCAATAGAAACAGGTTTTCCTTGAATCCCTACTATTTTAGAAAGTGAGAAGGAGGGGGGCGCTTATCTGAGAAGGGCGTTTGTTTGATATTATGGCCTAGGGGTAGGTGCTTACACGGGAGGGGGGGGGGGGCTATTAGAGCGTAGGCGCTTATTCGATGAAATATGGTATTTAAATTTAAATGGCTCCCTTAAAGCCTTGACCGCTTGTGGCGAAAAAATATTTGATGTAGGAGATTTATTTGCTGTTTTCCTTTTCAACTATCAGAACAACAACAACCGTCTTCATCGCCATACGGTCAGGATGACTCGGACTCATCTGAGCGGCGTAATAAATGGTTGGCCATTGGTTTTGCTACACTGGTCATGACACTGTACGCATTGTCCACTGGTCTGATCAGGGTAGAAATCAAAAGAGAGGGAGATGGGGAGAAATCAAACTCAGAGCAAGAAAGCAGTGAATGAAACACTGCAGTGTGAACCGAATAATGCTTAGGTTGTTAGATAAGACGCACCAGGAAAAAATACAAGGGGAGTACGCAAAATTGTTCACAGTGATCACTACACAAGTGTTCTTCTAGCGTCAGAAAGGATGGCAGGTTGTAATATAAACAATAAATTTAAACTTTTTCTTGACAGCGAAAGTGGTCGTTCGTGCCCTTACGCCCCCCTAGCAACGTCCCAAACGGTACGAATTTCCATTGCTTTGCCAACATTTTAAGTTATTCGCCCTATAAACGGTCAAGCTTTGTTATTTTTGTTGAAGGCATGTAATTGGCCACTGACAGCTTGGAAATCCTTCCATCTTTGATTAACTGAAACATAAATGACCACGTAACTTACAAATTGTAGAATTTTCCTTGAACTAAAAGTATGATGATCTGTAACACTTCCGTTTTATGATTATTAGGGACCTCTAGCAAACCACGACGGCGACTGAAACAAGGACGTGACAAAACAAAAGATCTAAAGAGCAGAACAATAGCTCAGCACGTGCGTTTTAAAACTGTGTACATTTCTTAGCCGTCCTCTGCAAAATAACAACGTGAAATCATCAAAATTTGCGTGGTCCGAGAAAGGAAACCCCGACGGCAGATTATTTAAGTTTCCATTTGAAACTCAACGCTGCTCTTATACGTTATGCTGAGGTTAACTTGCGGCGCCATAAGAGACGGTAAGCACATCCAGTCACTCACGAAATTCCAACTGAAAATATGTGTTAATTTTTAAATTGACGTCCTCCTTGGCGTTGTTGTCATAACTGCTAAAGGTCTCTATTTTTAGCTGGGGCAACGGTTTGATATTATTCATAACTTCTTGTTAAGTAAATGCAAACATTACCTTGTCTGCTATTTTGTCAGAGAGGCTGTTATTCGGTATTTTGATCATAAAAAATGTCACGAAGCAAACATGTCATTGACATTGACTTCCTTTCGATAAAACTAAGTATTTCAATAAAACGCTCGGCACCTCTAGAACATATGACTCGTCCTTTGAACATCTTTTGTTTCACTCCTTGTTGTTAAAGCCGTTGTGCTTGGCGTGTAATCCATGTATTCTCAAATTTATTTCTTTTTTTTGCCATGCAGAGATAATGACCAGTCAGATAGAATGAAAAACTTTGCATTTGTGCCTCAAAGATTAAATTGGTACTTTAAAACACGCAGAGAAAATTTATTTAGCAAGTTTGTACGTCATAACAAATTGACAAAAGGTGCCGTCAGCTGGGCGAAATTGAGTCGAAAACAATTTTTTGTGGCAGAGGAAGCAAGTAAATTAGTGATGTTTATCACCTAGGAAGCGATGTAAAGACTTCCTTTCTGTAAAGTTCAACTTCGAACATAAAGCTTGGCACACTGAAAAAAGTAACCGTCCTTTGAGGCATTTTTGTTTCATTTTTTGTCGCTGAGTTTGGTCAAGGCGTTGCAGGTAGCGTTAAATCCACCTTTTCTGCTCAAGAGCATTCTTGTTTTTTTGCATTTTAATTTCCCTGAGATGGTAAGTTGATAACAACGCGATGACGTTAATTTTGGGAGAAAATAGATTTCTGACCAATCAGGGTGCGCGTTGTGAATATTTTTCTGGTACTCGGTCAACTAAGAGGAGTCATATGCAAATTTTTACCGCAGCACTTGAAGATGTAGTTGTGAAAAATATTGCGTCGATAGCGAACCTGAGTTCAAATAATTTTGTTGACAGAGTAAATTGTGAATTGTTTTCACCGCAATTTTGGCATTTCCTGACGGTTTTGGGGTTTTTGGTGTAATGAGTATCCGACAGATGGATGAACACGAATTAAGATCCCATCATAAATATTTGATATGCTTTATATAAATGCTTGGCGATAAAATTAGTCTCCAACGTTGTAAGAGACATCACGTCGGCACCAGAGAGGAAGCCTGTCAAAAAGTCGGTCAGAATCTCTCTCTGTCTTCTTTCTCCGGTTTTGCCTTATCTCTCTTTACCCTTGCTAAGCGATCGAGATCTTCAAGAGCGGGTCTGCTAGCGGACCTAACAGTCTATTCTAAAGTTTGAATTGTCCCCGGTGAAACGGACTCGAGAATTAATTGTCACCTGTTGGTTTAGTTGCTGGAAAGCGCATTTCTTAATAATTTTAGATGATCGCTTTTGATGTGGACTGCTAATTTGAAACATAGGCGCTTTCGTCTTAAATGGAACACTTAACTTCCGTACAGTAACAGTGGTAAAGTAACAGTGGAAAAGAACAGTGGAGCATTCTTTAGCCGGAGTAAGCCGAAAAGGAGCACACCGGAGTTTATTTAAAAAAAAAGAGGGAAATTTCCGTGCGCTGCAGGAATGTCGAACAACACGGAAGCTAAGGTAACGAGCTCTACTGAACAAAACGTTTAGAGCAATCATGAAATATCTGATAATTACCTGACCTGCGATCAATCAATCGTGAAATGAAACGTTCTAGAACCGCATTGAGTTTTTTCCTAGCTAATTACAGGTAATAATTTTGTGTCTTAGGGGTAAAATCAACCTTACGTAGGTACTGTTATCGAAGTCACAATAAGATACGATAGAAACCCACAAAGAAACACATCGGCTCAGAAGCAACGGGGCAAGATTACCGTGCGCTGCGGGAATGTCGAACAACACGGAAGCCGAGATGACGAGCTCCACCGAGCAAAACGTTAGCCTAGGTTTCTACATCGCCATCATTGTAACTGGTTTAATGGGCAATAGTTTGGTGATCGCTGTCATTTCTGGCAAGAGGAGCAAAAGGTCCATATATGATCTGTTTATTTTGAATCTTGGCATTGCCGACTTGTCGTTCATCATCTTTTACATGCCAATCCTTATTTACGAGGGGTATATCAACATCATTTACAAAACTGTCTATTATTGTCGACTTGTTCAGCCTTTGTTGACAATCTTTTATTTCTTGAGTATCTTCACCATCTCTTCCATGGCAATCCATCGCTGCAGGCTGATTACAAATCCGTACAAACCCAAAATGAAAAAACGAAGTGGTTACCTGTGGATCGCTGCTATCTGGCTCTCTTCATTAATTATCGTGCTGCCTTTGTCTATTGTCACAAAATCGAAAAACGGGCGATGTAACGAGGAATGGCCATCACTGAATCATCGCAAAGCCTACACACTGGCTCTTTTCATTCTTCAGTTTGTTATTCCGCTT